CTCTCTTCTGATGCAGTAATATAGCCTGACATTTAATTCCATTTCAGAAAACTGCCACAAGAATGTTATTTTCTTAATATCTTCTTCCAGGTTTCTTTTTTTTTTTTTTAATTTATTTTAGAAATTGCCATTCTTAAGATTGATAACTATGAAGGTTTGGTCTATGTGAATTGGATGAATTATAATAGGAAGTCTGTTTTTTCGTGATAAAAATAAGCCTAAAGACAGTATACTGGCACTTCATTATTCAGTACCCAGCTTAACTCACCTCACACCTTTAAAATGGGGCTCTTGATGGCCTCAATCATCATATCAAGGCTGAAACGTTCTCATTATTCGTATTATAGTCTAGCAAATGAGTGAGGAGCTTCTGATACTTATCACATGGCTGCTCCGGTTTATTAGTCTTTCATCTTTCTTCTCATTCATTCTTCCTTTGACAGCGCTTTAAAAGTAAAACCCAGGTGTGCGTGTCAATTCTACGACGCTTTCAAATAGAGTCTCTCCAAAAGCATCATCTGCGTTAACGAAGGGGTCTCTCAAAAACAGAGTAACACGTGTCGGGGTATGAATTTTGGCAGCTTTCCTCGAGTAGGGCATCACCTCAAGCTTTGGTGGCCAGCAGTGGCCTCTGTCACATGCCCCATCGCGTGGCAAAAGCTCTTTAGAAGGAACCTATGTGCTAAGAAAATGTTCTCCTGTTGCTGTGGTTTCTGGCCACAGTTCTGGTGGGAATTACACAGGGAGTGCTCCAACGAGGAGTTGGGGCAGGTGAATCACTTTGAACGTAGCAATTATGGTTCACGATTGAGTCTCATGGCTTTTTTCTCTTTGATAAAAATAGTAAATAAGGCTCCAGCCTCTCCCGTCAGCACCAAATCCAGTCTTTTGGGACTCTGTCCTTCACAGCTGGTCACTGTAATACGTTTCACACAAGATAGTTTGATTTTGCGATCTTACTTTGAGGCAGAGGTCCAAGAAGTGAGTTCAGATCAACAGTTGTAATATTATTTATTTTTTTTTCCTCCCTTGAAGTTCAATTCACATCCCTCAGTCCTATAGCGAACGCAGATATATGTGTTTTATGCGGCAAAAATATAGGTTCACTGCTTATCAGGTCAGTGCTGCTGTTTGATAAACAACACTTATCTCCTTCAAGCAACACCCTGCCCTAAATAAGTTTGCCTGGGGAGTGGAGCCAGAAATAGCTTCCTTTTTAAATTTTCTTTTTTATTAGGTTGTAAAAAAAAAAAAAAATCATTGAAAAAAACGTTTAAAATGAAAATAGAGGGTGGCAGTAGTCCTGCTTTCTGAGGTTTTGGGGTTTGTTTTCTCTTTTTCCTCCATCAGACAGGCAGGTTGTAAAAGTCTGCAGTTGCATCTTGCCCTGGGAGTCTGTGCTTCTCCCCGTGTTATTCTGAAAACTGAACGTGTTCCCTCACTTTTATTTACTGTTTGTTGCTAAAACTCCAGTGGAAGGATGTAATGATGGGGTGGTGTTGTTTTCAGTGGTGCCCAGTGACAGGACAAGAGGTAATGGGCACGAACTTGAACCAAAGAAGTTCCATCCAAATGTGAGGAGGAACTTAATCGCTTTGAGGGTGGCCGAAGCCCTGGAAGAGGCTGCCCAGAGAGGTGATGGAGTCTCCATCTCTGGAGACATTCCAAACCTGCCTGGACACGTTCCTGTGCAACCTGCTCTGGGTGGACCTGCTCTGGCAGGGGGGTTGGACTAGAGGATCTCCAGAGGTCCCTTCCAACCCCATATCATCCTGTGATCCTGTTTTGATCCCCAAACACTTAGAGATACAGCTTTTATGCCCCTGTGAGAATTATCCGATGTTAATACAGCGGGAGGAGGATGTGTTATTTAATTACAAAATTATTTAATTTTGCAGCATAAATAGCTTGTGGGGGGTTCCCCCTCCTTGAATGCTTGTCTTTGTACTTCCAAATCTTGTAAGCTTTTTTTTTCTTCCTGTATTTCTGAAAACTAGTCGTGACGTCCCGAATCTGGCAAAGAAAAAGGAAAAGCAGGGGAATTGGGATGTGGCAGTAAGGTAGAGAAATGTTAGAAAGCCTAAAAATAGACAGGACAGAGAAGGGAAATGCTTGAGGTAATAGTTGCCCAGATCATAGTGGTTAAGGCAGTACAAAATGCAGCCATAATACAGTGGGTAACAAGGAAACAGAAATGTTCAAACCCAAATACCAGGAGCCTGGGCAGAAGAGAGAAATATTTTTGAGCGGCTTTAGTGGAATCAAAGCCGCAAAAAAAATACCATAGCGTATCATTAATGACTAGGTCGTGGTTTTCAAATGGGAATGTTCTGTTACAAAAGATGGAACTAAATAAGTAGTTTAACGCAGCGATGAGCCATAAAGCATTAAGCAAGGGAATGGCTGAAATCATAGGTGGGAGCTGGATTTCTTTGGGAAAAGATGGTAAGTGAGATTCTGGTGGAGTAGAAGTAGATGCTCGCTGCTCCTCCTGATTGGATTTGGAGGTGGATAATGCAAACCTTTGTCCCATTGCAAGTATAACTATTTGTGGGAGTATTTTTTTATATTATTTTCCAGCTGTAGTGATAATGCTATGAATAACCTTGTCACATCCACAACAGAGGGCTCTTTCCAGTTAATGACATGGAAGCTTTGTGAATTTGTCACACCGAGCAAGGGGAGGTGGTGGCCGTGGAGGCCACCTGAGTGAATTCAGAAAAATATTTCAAGTAAGCAGAGGTCCTGTAAGCACTGGGAAAGATGACAAATTGTGTCTTAGAAGTGGAGATGTGAAGGAATTTAAAAAAAAAAAAATGGATAAATAGTGTGGAAAAAATACTCAAATGAGAATAATTGTATTTCCATTGAAAGCAGAACTGAAGGAGTCCATATACTCAAATTAGGGAGCCAGAATAATCTTTTTATCACAGAAACCTGAAGGTTTAGGTCATGAAAGCACAAGTCTTTACCAACAAGCATCTGTCTTTAACAAATTGATGGAGTTAGTGTTGGAGAATCCCAAATTTTACTGACGATGTTTATGAAAGGGAGGAAGAAAAGCAAATTGAACTTGTCTAATGTGACATCAAAAGGGTCTGTAGCTCAATATATTTGAAAGATAAAACCTGAAACAAGCTTCCCAAACATAAACCAAATGAGAAAAAAACGTATTTTTTTGCCTTAAAAATAAAAATTAATCAACACAAAACCCTGTCATATTCCCAATGTCAAACCAAACAGTCCAGATTCTGATGAACTATCTGATATGTGCAGAAATTGCTGGAAATCTGATGAGTAGAACTGTAAAAATAAGTAAGGAAATGCTGCTGGGGAAACTGGCCGTGGGGAGTGTTGATGGGTGAACTGGGGAAATGCTGCTGCTGAGGTTGGGAATGGGCTTGTTAATTATTTCATTGAAGATCTTGTGTATAAATGTTGGAGATAAGTATGTGAAACTTCATTATGGGGCATTGTCAGAAAAGGAGGGCCTGAGAATCCTAGAGAAAGCAGGAGGGTAATTGGTAGGGGTTAAAAAAATAGATGTTAAAGACGATGTAGCTGGGAATGAATTGTGAGCTGGGAGATGGTCAGTCAGAAACAACCATGACACGTGTCCTCACTGGTTCTGGATGGCCAAGAGCTGCCAGTGGTGCAACAGGCAAATGCAGTTTGGGGCTTATTAACCCAATGTTAATGGGACCTCATGCAGAACACAAGAAAGGTGAGCTGAAAATGCATTAGCATGAAAAATGACAGGAAAGATGAGAAAGAAGCCTGGTTTACGAGAAGAGACTAGTAAAAGTAGTATAGCCAAGAATTAAGAATTAAATGGGAATTTGGTTTAAATCTAAAAATACAATAAGGAGTACTTAATGTGAAGGGCAGTGGGTATAACCTGACAAGGAACAAATAAAAGTGGAAGCATGTTTCTGGGCGTTAGAGCATCACAGTTGTGGAACAGCTTTCCAGAAGGGAAAGCGAGGGTGGGAAAGTGGTGACTGATGTGTTAATGAAGGGATGGGTATTGTTTCTGGTGCTCAGGGAGGACTGGGTTTGATAATCCCAGGAAACCACACCTGGTTTCTTACATAAGTAATAAGAAGCCTCCTGGGTTATTTCACATGTAGAAGGTTTTGCTGCAGGTTGTTATTGCTCTCCACCAGGGAAAAACCTGAGGCTGCAGGAGTTTTGAATACTCGAGTTGGTCCCTTATGCGCTTCTACATGGATTTTTAGTGGAATTTGGTAGATTGAAACAACCACAGGTTGGCTGATCTACAGCCTGGTGTTTGAGCTCAAGAATGCAGAAGAGCAGCAGTAGACTACTTGCTCTGTTTCCTTTCTGTTTAAGGGAAGCAGTAGGACATTTAATTCTAGTTTAATTCTAATACAGAGTGTCTGCCAGAGATCTGCACTGTGAAGGAGCAGCTCCTGTGCTGTGTTCCCCTCTCTGGCAGGCTGTGTGGTGTGACCCTTAGAGCACAATGTATACAGCTGAAACACACATGTTATATTTGCTTCAGATGCAGGCAGCCCATCCAAATGTGATTGCAAAGGTTGGTTCAAGTGGTAGAAATTCCAATTTATAGGTGTTTGCTCAAATGAAGGTGGGTAGGTGATTCGCTTCGTTGTCTGTTTTGAAACCAAGGTTCTTCCCTGCAATGAAGTTCTAATCCATGTTTTCCTAGCAGTGAAAATGTGCCAGTGCAAATTCCCTTGGCCTCTCAAATTTCCACCCAGCTGATGTGTAGTATAGGAAAATGCAACTAATTTTAAGATTTGATTCAGTAATAAGGGCTAGGAAATACAGCAAAATGGTGATGCAGCGTGGGAAGAAGAGTCAGAATTCATGGATTCCTGATGGCAGGGTTTTTTCAGCTTTTTGATTGCTTAAAAAAATGTTACTAGTTTAAATGTGCTGTGTTTTGTTGATCAATAGCCCGTGAATTTTTTGATATATCAAAAATTCAATTTGATATAACTAACTTGTGCTTTTTCTTTTTCAGTGCTTGCACCTCCTCCACCGTTGCCACCACCAATACAGGGATATGCCTTTAAACCCCCTCCTCGACCAGATTTTGGCACTTCTGGGAGAACAATCAAACTGCAGGCCAACTTCTTTGAAATGGACATTCCTAAAATAGATATCTACCATTACGAATTGGATATAAAGCCAGAAAAATGCCCTAGAAGAGTTAACAGGTAATACTCTGCTTTGCTTTTCTCAGTTTATTTACGTTCTTGTTTTCCTTTGGAGTCATGTGCCAGTTCTCACTGACAGCTTGGAGGATGTGTGTGTGTCTTTGTTTATACTGATAGCTTCTGACTTTGCATATCCATCAACAGGGATTTTTTTCTCCAAGACTTTCTGTGCCACTCCAAGATTTCGGTGCTAATTGTCCCTTATTTTGATTGAACTTGTCAGCATCTTAAGATGCTGCTGATCAAAGCCACTGGTGACAGATGGATGAACTGTATTAACCCTAGTGGAGTTAGGTCACTATAAGCCAACTTAATAAATATAATTCTTAGTATTGCTTTGTTAAATATCGGAGTGCAATTGGCTGCCAAATCCTTCAGCAGGGAGTTGATGTTACCAGCTTGTTTTCCCACCTTCCCCTACTGACAAGGTGGGGCAAAACCCATCTGTTTGTGCTGCTGCGAGAGGCTTGTGTAGGGGCTAAATTAGGTAAGAAATTTTCCTTCATCTGTAGATCCTATATAAGGGAAAGATATGCTCCTGAAACAGATAGCAAGGTGAAAACATGGATCGTTTGGCCAAGGAAACGAGCAATTAGGTCTTGCATTTTGCATATGTGCCCTATTAGTCACAGCGTGGCAACCTTATTGCCTTGAAACAGAGTGGCGTTGCCAGAAGTGAAACTTGAGAACAAGACTTGGCACTAACTGGAAACACAAGTGTCTTCATCGTAACTACCTACGTCTTGACTGTAGAGGATCGGAATGGCATGTTTATATATTCAAGAGCAAAACTTTTCCTTCTTAAAAAAGGTCACATGGGTGAAACACGCAGCCATGGACAAAGCGTGGAATCAAAAAAGGCACCCGAAAGCCAAAGTTTTCTTAACATGAATTAATAAACCCGGAGTGCATTATCCATTGTCAGACTAAAGAGTGGGTAATAAAACATTTTCATGAAGCAGCTTCGCTATGCTTTGCTGTCCTGTTATTTTTCTGTGGTGATGTACTATAAATTTAATTTTTAAGCTGGTCAAGAAGTTAATTTCAAAAACAAACACTGCTGTAAGTGTATTAAGCTGAACTCCCTTCTTGCCCGAGAGCAGCCCTGCTGATGAAATACTCTGGCTGCGTTGGGGTGCTGCAAAAAAAAAATAAAAATTAAGTCACTTTTTTCCATAGTGGGAGCTGTGATTTGCTTTCCTTACCGTGTGTCCCTGCCACCACCTCTGGCCCTGCCAACTGGCACACAGCTGGCTGCTGCACCTTGCCCCGACCCTCTAGCTCCTGGGGGAGGCGAGTGCTGTGTAGCTCTTGTGTGTGTTATAACTCTGTGGGATGGTCCAGGATGGCTGCTCGTCACAGAATGATATGGGGTTGGAAGGGACCTCTGGAGATCCTCTAGTCCAACCCCCCTGCCAGAGCAGGTCCACCCAGAGCAGGTTGCACAGGAACGTGTCCAGGTGGGTTTGGAATATCTCCAGAGAAGGAGACCCCACCACCTCTCTGGGCAGCCTGTTCCAGGGCTCTGCCACCCTCAAAGGAAAGAAGTTCCTCCTCACGTTTAGATGAAACTTCCTATGTACAAGTTTGTGTCCATTTCCTCTTGTCCCTGAGCACCACCGAAGAAAGACTGGCCTTATCCTCTTGGCACCCACCCTTTAAGTATTTATAGGTGTTGATCAGATCCCCCCTCAGCCTTCTCTTCTCTGCACTAAAAAGACCCAAGTCCCTCAGCCTTTCCTCATAAGAGAGATGCTCCAAGCCTCTCATCATCTCTGTAGCCCTCTGCTGGACCCTCTCCAGCAGTTCCCAGTCCTTCTGGAACTGGGGAGCCCAGAACTGGACATCGTTCTCTGGATGGGGCCTCCCCAGGGCAGAGCAGAGGGGCAGGATGACCTCCCTCCACCTGCTGGTCACACTCTTCCTGATGCCCCCCAGGATGCCATTGGCCTTCTTGGCCACAAGACCACATTGTTGGCTCATGGTCATCCTGTTGTCCACCAGGACTCCCAAGTCTTTTTCCTCAGAGGTGGTCTCCAGCAGGTCAGCCCCAACCTGTCCTGGTGCAGGGGAAAGCATCAATGGCAGAGAGCTTAATTACTAAATAATAAAGGAATCTTTCTCATTGAAAAGGCAGGTGATAATGAGTAGTAAGTTCTTTCTCCACTGAGAGCTTCTGACCTGCTCTGCATTGTCAGGTCGGTCACTCCCTACGTTGTGGTAACAGGAGCAGAGATTAAATGCCTTTTTTCAGTAAAGAAGGATGTCAGAAATGCCTTTGACAGTGGTGTGGGAAGAATACAAATTGGATGCACTTAATGAAGTGCATGTTTTATTTCTTTTGAGTGCTTATTCCTGCCCGCGTTATGTAGATGTAGATGTTCATGCACACACCTGGGTTTTTGTGAGCTGTGACTTTTCAGTCCTACATGTATACATTTATTTTTGTGTGTGCCTATGTATTATATGTATATAGGATTATGCAGGGTGCACAATCTAAATGATAGATTTATTTCAGCTGGCTACACACTTCTAGTATTTTGGTTATATAATTCAGATGTATATTTATAGTAAATAGTTTTTATCATTACTTTATACCTTTCAGTCCCTAGAAAGGACAGATTTTATTTTCATTTACGTTACTCCCTCATCTGTCCCGGCCTCATTCTCACTTTTATTCTGGGATTTACTGTGGAATGTGACCCTGCGGCCCCACCGCGGGGATGAGTCCAAGTATCCAAGTGTCCATGCGAGTTCCCCGTGAGCTGGAGCAGGACTGGAAAACACGAAGCTGAGACAATATGCTGCTGTGCCAAATCACTACAGTCTGGCCACAATTCTTGGTGTGGTGCAGAGATCCCAGATCTGGTTGTTTAATTAGACAGGGAGAGTGGGCAATGGGCGTTTGGTTCCACACCGTGGATGCCTTCGGTTTAATTCCTGTGGACGGGCAGGACTCGTATGAGGTTGAAGATGATCGGTTGGTCGGGCATTGGAATAGGCTGCCCAGGGAGGGGGTTGAGTCACCATCCCTGGATGTGTTTAAGGGACCTGTAGATGAGGTACTGAGGGATATGGTGTAGGGGAGGACTGTGTAGAGTAGGGGAGATGGTTGGACTCGATGATCCCAAGGGTCTCTTCCAACCTGAATGATTCTATGATTCTATGATCTCTGCCTGTGGTCACTGGCACTGGGGGTGCTTGCACGATCTCGGTAGGATAGTAGTCCCAAAGGGCTGAAGTCAGTGAATTGGTAAATAACTCTTCTTTTAACTTCATGTGGAGAAAATAACTTACATTTAAGATGTCTCCACCCACAGCTGAGAAGCACCGGTGCTAAACGTGGTTTGAAGCTTGAAAACCTTAATTAAGTGGAAGTGTTCATTTTTATATGAAATAGCTCACAATTGGAAGAACTTGCTCAGTACAAGAATGGGTTTTCCATTGCTCAGTCTTTAACTCAAGGTTGAAAAATACCTCCTTCCTCCCATTTCCTCTCAGTTTTTTTGCGTTAATATCTAACTATGTGCTGGGTTAATTACTTTTTTCAAGTTGAGGTGTGTGAAATAGTCACCTGCAGCATCTCTGAGCTGCCAGTTGACAACGGTCCTAAAGAATCAGTGGTTTCCTTTCCCTGTCAGTTGAACTTCTTAATGCCCTTTTGCCCCGAGCCGTATGTTAAGGATCTCACAGGCAGCATCTTGAAGGCTGCTAATGGATTTCAGATTTTACAGCCCTTGTGATACAGATAGCCTGAAGGGTGTCTCTTTGGGACGTTGGGACCAAAGACATTTGGCATCAAAGGGTGTTATTATTCCAACAGACCTCTCACGGGCTGGTGAACTGCTTTGCATGACCAGTGTGTAAACACTGTGGTTTGACAAGAACTTTGTGAGCGGTTACCTCATTCATACAAACATGCAACCCAATGCCAGCTTTGCTGAAATGAATATGTATTTTTAATATGCGCGGGTCCCAGTGAATGCACATAACCCAGTTTTGCTGGACAGAACCCAGTTTTGTTGCGTACATGAAAAAAAATACATTTAAAAATAGCCTTTCTCAGTGTTGTGCAGAAAGGTCGCCGTCGTCATAGAACTCTCATCCTTACACTAAGGCTCTGAGCTTGGCTGGTCATTTTTTGGAAAGCTTCTCGGGCTGCTGAGCTTTTGGTCCATGGTCCTCTGCAGGAAGGGCTGCAGGAGGAGAAACCCCAGGAGAATGTCAGGCACCTCCTGTTTTGAGCTTGAGAGAGCTTTCGTTTTACCACTTGAGTAGATCACAGAAAAGAGGAAGGAAAGTTTTAATCTGAAAAAGCTAAAAATAGCTGCTTTGAGAAAACAGTTTACTCTGTGAAGAGATTGCTTTCATTCAGATCAGTCCTATCTTGCCTTTAATACCCAGAAGTGGACAGCCCTTTCATTTACCTAATGCCTCTGTTCATAAATATTAGTGTTCATTTGCTACTTAACAACAACAGTAAGAAGTTGAATTAATGTAATCTTTTTGTCTTTTCAGAGAAATAGTGGAGCATATGGTTCAGCACTTTAAAACCCAGATTTTTGGGGATCGCAAACCGGTGTTTGATGGAAGAAAAAACCTTTATACAGCTATGCCGCTTCCCATCGGGAGAGATAAAGTAAGTTTTAAATAGAAAAAGTTTCTAATTGGGAGATTTTAATGTAATATTTGCAGAGCCTTTCTAATAACTGATAGGAAATGATTTTTATATTTCTGGAATTGATGTCTCCTCCTGTTGCCGCTTTGCTCGGGGTGTGCTTCTCCAGAAGTGTGAGCTTGTTGCCATTGAAATGGTTGCTCCCCTTTCCATGTCCCTTCATTCTCCCTCTCTCTACTGGTTTGAGCTGGATCAACTGCCTGAGACAGTGGACGAGCTCCGTGCTGCCAGTCTAGGGAGAAAGCAAAAGCACAGTTGAGTTTGGGAGAGGGGAGCACCCTCTGGGCAGCAGAGAGCTGTTGTGTCAGCTCGTTCATCTCATCAAAGCCTACTGGGAGCTGGTTCTCACTCTCCACCAGCTGGAAGAAACTCCTCCACCCCTCCGTTGGTGGTGTGGAACCTCTTCCCTAATCCTTTATGACGCGAGCGCCAAATGAAGTTAAACTGCACAGGTTAAGACCTGCTGGTTTAGCCCTGGGGCAGCTGAAGAGGACTCTCAGGTTGTGTTTGGCTGCTCTGCTCGTGGGGCGGTGACCTCTTTGGTCACTCGGGTTGTAGCTGCAAAGTCTGCCCACGGCTGTGCCCGTTGGTGAAGCAGAAGGGACCGTGTTGGAACACGCTACCGCGCAAACCCTGTAAAATAAATAATTTAGCCCACGCTTCTGTGGTCTAGTATCAGATTGAATTTTCTGTGGCCTTTTTTATTTAGATGATGAACACCTGATAGAGCCATTCTCATTACTCACTCCCAGAGGCCCATTTTACCTTTCAGCTGCGGGTGCAAGGCGAGGCACACACAGTTACAGGGAAACACTGTCCCATCCCGTAGAGTTGATTACAAGTGACCTAGACAAAAGTAAAATGTCTAAAGGGCAAATACAGAGAAATGTGGAAACTTGCTTCTGTGATAAAACTGGGAACAGAGCTTAGATCTTCCTAAATTCAGTAGCCAGTGTGCTATGAAATAGTTCATGCTGTTCATATTGTATCCCTGTGCCGTGCTTGACATAATTAATAGTTCTACCTGAATCAAGCTTTTAATCTTTTATGTGTAATTTTTATTTCCCCCAAATGTATTTAAACGAATGCCATGCAGTAAAGGTCAGTCTCTACTCCAGTCTTAATTATTTTTTCATTAACTGATAAGCTAAATTCTAGGAAAGCAGAAAGAAATCATTTAAAAGTATTAGAGATAATATTTTTCTTTCATTTTTACATATAGTATTTCAATATCTCCAGATTTGACATGCAAGATTGTGAACTACTTGCTAAAGGTGGAGTGATACTTGACGAGTGTCTCCTAGGGGTTTAAACTGGTCCTTTGGATGCACACATGATTACCTGTCTATAGCCACAGTATTTTCTGTGGATAGCTGACACATAAAATATATTTTATGACAAGTACGAAGTTCTGCATTTACTAAGTAAAGGTAAATGAAAAATGGTTTGTCTACGGAGGATAAACAAACAGGGATCAGATTTAATAGGATGAGGGGTAATGGTTTTAAACTGAAAGAGGGGAGATTTAGATTAGATATCAGGAAGAAATTCTTTACCATGTGGGTGGGGGGCACTGGAAGAGGTTGCCCAGAGAAGCTGTGGCTGCCCCATCCCTGGAGGGGTTCAAGGCCAGGCTGGATGGGGCTTGGAGCAACCTGGTCTGGTGGGAGGTGTCCCTGCCCATGGCAGGGGGGTTGGAACCAGATGATCTTTGAGGTCCCTTCCAACTCAAACCATTCTATGATTCTATGATCCTTGGATCTGAGGAGATTTTGTGAGGTGCAAGTTGACCTTACTCTGATTGGGAGATGACCTCCTCCTCCTGTTCCTGCTTGGCCGATCAGGACTCGATTCTTCACGCTTTGGATTTTAAAGCCCATGTGTACTAAATCATACATGGTAAAAACGAAGTCCTAGTGAGAGCCTGCCAGCAGGAAAAGCTTTTGACGCCCCGATTCCTTCACGTCCATGCAAATGAACATGGGTGGGACAGAATTACCTGGCCGGAGTGAGGATGATTTGCAAAAAGTGGTCACTGAGGAGAGTGTTTTTAGTGGAGGTCAGAACAAGATGGTTTTGAGAGTTTCATCTGGAGCTCACATTCAAGGCTCACTTGGAAGAAACTCCTATCGTTTCCCTGTTTCCCATGGGATACAGGACTTTGTTGTTTTTTCTGCCATACATATATTAATGTTATTACCCTGGAGGAAAGAGCTAATAGAGAAATCTTCAGTTGGTTTAAATCGGATGTGGGAAATTTCGCTTAATGAGGGAAATTGTTACATGGTGCTAAATTGGTTTAAGCAGGGTTTAAACCAGTATAAAGCTTGTAGGTATTAGGCCTTTCCTCCAGCATAATTAGATTAGGTTTCTTTGGGGGTTTTTTTGGCTGCTCAGTGCATAACAAATGTAGCAAGTTTGCTGTACATCTGATTACTCTTAAGATCATATTGAAAAGATTGATGAACATACAATGATTAATAGATGATCCTTAATCTAAGTGGAAGACAACCTTGATTTACTTGCATTGGTGGTGGGAGAACTGATGCTAAGCAGAAGGCTGACACCAAATTGCTTAGTTTTTTTTTTTTCTTCCCCTCCTGTTGCTCTTTAACTTAATTAAAACACTGTGTCTTCATCTCTTGTCAATGGTGGTTGTTCTAGGGTTGGGTTTGTGGTTTGTTTTTTTTTTTTGTCCTTGCTGACAACCCTGCTTCTCTTGACTTTTCTGTTACATAAATACTCTTAATCTTTTCTGCTTGGCCTTCGTGGTTATCATATCTGTTTTCATTCCTTCCTTATCATACCTTGTTTTCACTCTTTTAATTCCTCCATTCTTTAGACCTTTCGGAACAAATATGGAATATGTAAATATTAACAGAATGTTTTTGTAGCTTATACATGTTGAGAAGAAAGAAGTGTATAGGACACTGTCAAAGTATAAAGGTATTAATAGTCTGCTTTTCCCTCGTAGGTTCTAACAGCAAGCCCAGGTCACCTCTGAGTGTGGCTTTGTACACAACTGCTGCCTTGCTTGTGTATTGCCCTAAAATGTCCTTCTACAATTAAAAGCCAGAATTTAAATTCTAACTGAACTCAAAAGTTTAATAACCTAGCAAGATTCGAGAACAACTGCTATATCTTAACCCATATCTTAAGCAATCTTTAATTATAAACCCAGTAATTATTAGTGAACTGAGCTGTGGCTTGATACAGAAGTCCCATGGCTGTTCCCTTTTTCAGAAGGAAAGTGTTCATCCTGTCTCTGGCCACAATCTTACTCGCTTGATTTGATCTGAAGTATGGACTCTGTACGTGGCAGAAGCAGATCTCTCCCCTCTGTCCATAGCTTCAGGTTTCCGGGCAAGTCCATGGGAGGTAGCACCCAAATATTTGTTTGAAAACCATGCATTTGTTTTCCACTGAATCTCTGGGAAGGAAAAGCTCTTAGAATAATAGAGAAAAGGTACATTGTATGCCCAAACATGATAAAATAATCACGAAGTGATACCTATATTTTATAGAGAAGAAGCAGTACTAAGAATACCCCAGAGACACGTGGTGAGGTTTAATTTTTATTTTTTTTAAACAGTGATAATGCTGATTTGTATGAGTTGGATACAAGCCCTGTTGTTTTTAAGAGCAGCTTTCAAATGTTTCCACAGGCTTTAATAGTTTTTCACATCCCTACTATAACTTCCCTTTCATTTAATCCTCTAGCTGCAAAATTATGCCACCTGTGCTGCAATTTCGCAATGGCTCCAGCAGGTAGTAAGTTAAGGACTGAGACTGTAAATTTTTTATTTGGGGATAGATTATGCCTGGTAAAACTGTAGGAAATCAAACATTAAATTCGACTTCAGACTTTATTCCTAGTAGCGACGTACGTGGTAAAACTCCCATTTAAAACTACTTTGTCTTCAAATTTTTCATATTTTGCCTCGTCTGCCAAACATGAGTGTGTTCATTTGCCCTTCAGAAATATAGACTGGGATAAATAAAATCCCAGAGAGGTTTAAATTCTTAAGTGCCTAAAACTATATGTGATCCTGAGGATGTGGATTAAGTACACCTTTTTTTGGTCCTAATGAGTTTTTATGATTTTTGTTTTTAAAAAAAAACCAAAAACTCTTCAGTAGCACGTAATTCAGGCAAGAGATTAAAGGAAGAAAACCTGGAAAGTTGGATTTAAACCTGATTTATAGGGGAAGTGACTCTAATTCACCTGTTTTGAAGTGGGGTTAGATGCAGCAGCAAAAGCTTTTTGGGCCAAATTCATAGCTGTGCTAAACCTCAGAGGTATTTGCAGTCTGGCAGTTGAAATAGAAATTCTTCAATCCTGGCCTTTTTATTTCTAGCAGGGACACAGACACTGCAACACAAGTGGTCTTATTCTTCATCTTTTTCCATTCTGGGGCGGTGAAGGAACTTTGTAAATTGAACCCAAGAGGAGGAGAAAATAAAATTAAATTTTTTTTTTAGGTTATAAGTACCAAATTAGTTAATAATCAGATGAGTTGTGGATCAACAGTATCAGGAATAATAGAAATTACCAACCTTGATTTGGAGGAGGAGAGATGTTTAGGGGAAAACGCAATTCAGGTGCGACAGACTTCTCCCATCTGCTGTAAATAAGATGCAAGTTAAAGACCTTTTGATGGCGTGGTGGGAAAAAAGCCTTCATAGAAAGCTCCCAACCTGTCTCAGCAAAACCATGTCCCTTTATTTGCCCAGCTTTTCAGCAGAATTAACCTCCTGGGCCAGATTCAGACCAGTGACCCCACAATTACAACTCTCCAGCTCCCATTGCTCTCCCATGGCCATGTGGCTCCTTCCTCTGCTTGACTTTCCTGCTGAATGATGTTTGTACTAGAGGAGAGATGTGGCTGTAATATTAATTTTTGCTGCCTACTATAAATTGTCAACTCTTTTTTTTTCTGGCTTACGGGAAGGCTTATTATTTGTGTTTTATCTTTCCTTCCTATTTTTTTGCCTCAAGACGCGAACTGTCGCAGGAGACCAGATGATTGCATGTATTAGCTCACTGTTACTCATGTATTATTTTTGCTAGCCCACTAATTACAGTTTGTCTGTTAAGTGGATGCCTTTTATATTTAAATTATAAGCTCTCTAGGACAGGAAAATGTAATGTTTTTGTTTATATCCAGCACAAAGGAGCCTCTGATCTTGTTATTTCTTGTAGTCGCTCTCAGAACTGCTAATGGTTTCAGACAAGCTTTAATTTTAGTCGGTTTAAGAACTTCTGTGCTCAGGCTTTCTTTGTTTTAATAAAGAGGAGAAACCAGCGTTACAAGTAATCAGCTAAAGTAACATACTATAATGCAGTTTGCCAGTGTTTTTTAGGCAAAAAATTCAAAGTAGGGCATCAGATGTTAAAGGAGTATCCCTGTTTCCTGCCTGATAGCATCACTAGCACTTGGGGACCATCGTTTCTTCTTTCTTTGGCATTTAAAAAGAAGCAGGTTTTGGGTTGGGTTTTGTGGTTGGTTTTGTTTTTATTGTTGGGGTGGGTGGTGTTTGTTCTTGTTTTGGTTTGTTGTTTTTCTTTCCCCTTTGAAAGCTTCTTGTGGATTTTATTTTCTCTCTTTGAACTACATCTCCAGCACTAGTACCCAAAGCATCACGGCGCTTTAGAGAGCCAATACTTGAAACTCCTGACTCTTGACAGGTAGTGACAGACCATCTTTTGTTTTAGGCCTGCAGGAGCTGACGCGAGCGGTGATGCATTAGTATGGGTTAGGTATCCAAAATTGGGTTATCAGATCTTCATGGAGGACCTCCCTGTTGCTACAAAAGCACTTCCAAATGATCCTGTTGCCTCCCAGAGGGAGCTAGATGCCAGTCGGGATTCGCGCCAACTTTCTGAAGTACACCTTTGGAAAGATCTAGCTCTAAAAAGAGGCTGTACCTAATGTGTGTTGTTTCTTCATCATTGCTTTTTGTCTACTCCCATGCTTTATAGCGCTGTTCAGAGGAATCCAACGTCCCCTCCGAGCCCTTTCCGTTTCCCCCCCCCCCCTTTAAATGGAAAGAATCATCTTGGTTTGTTGTTTGGCATTGTTGCAGGTGGAGCTGGAGGTCACGCTGCCAGGAGAAGGAAAGGACAGAATATTTAAGGTGGCTATAAAGTGGATGTCCTGTGTGAGTTTGCAGGCTTTACATGATGCTCTTTCTGGTCGGCTGCCAAGTGTCCCGTTTGAAACCATCCAGGCACTGGATGTAGTGATGAGGCATTTGCCTTCCATGAGGTGAGGGGAAGACCTTGACGTTGTTGAGGAGGTTGCATTGTTATTTGAATCGCTTTGGTGGCTTTTTTGGGTAGGACATTCTTTCAGAGCTCAACCAAAATAAGAGCAGATGGCATGCTTGGGCAAGAGGCAATACGGTGCTTTTCTGCTCATCTGGTGGAATTAGTAGCCTCCAGCCTGGACACGAGGCCCTTTCCCCACTGGTCTTCAGGCCTGCTCCATCTTGTGTGCTCTCAGGTCAGGAGTGCCCTGCCATCTCGCCCGTACCCCCCTTCTCTGGAGGCCTCAGAGAAGGCCTTGGTTGGGAAGTAGTTGGAGGTTGGTAGACATGTAAGGGTGGTTTTAAAACTTGTTACCCTGTTGCTCTGTGTCTTTGGGCAAAGGTTTCTTGCCAATTTTGTATGAAGGATACTGTGCTAGGAGGACATTGTCAACCCAGTAGAACTATTTTTGTAGAAAAGAAAAACTGGAAAATTTCTTAGGTTTTTTTCCAAGTGAGTGGGATCTCCAGCATTTCAAGTCAAACCCAAAAGATACTGAGTTTCATTCTGCTGCCATGAAACCACTGTTCAAATTGCCTTCAATTGGAAAATAGAGAACAAAGCTTAGTAGGGCTGAACTTTCCCATTTTGAAGGGCTAAACAGGGAAAATGAGTTAAACTTATGAAAGTATCTTTAAATAGCCTTATATTACATTGACTTTATCCTCATATTAAGGATAAAAAAAAAAAAATCACTTTAGTCAGGTTTTGCAACACAGAAAACAGTCCAGGCTCCTTAGTCACGCATCTTTCTTCAGAGAAACATTGGCACTGGTTTTGATTAGTTTGATATTAAGTGTGCAGTACCGAATAACCAAGATGAAAAATGCATCAAAAATATTTGTTAGATCAGTTGTTCACCCATGCAGAGTTTCCATGGATTTCAGAGGAAGTTCATGCACAACTAAGGGGAGAGGTAATTACATTGTTGTTTTAATAGCAGATGCGTTCAGTTATTGTCTCGCTGAAGAGTAGCTGAATTTTTGATGAGTACCAAAAAAAAAAGTTATTACTGCTTTTAGTTTGAATTAGTGGGCATATGAAGGAGTTTACTGAAAATAAATTTAAACAAACGTGAATATTAGCCAGTTTCTTACTGTAGCTGGATTTTGAGAGGCGTAACCTGAGTCCTGACAGGAATCTCAGATTATTGGTAATTTGAAACGCTGACATTCCTGTGCTTTTGTTAAATAAGAGTTTTTATTAGTTATGGCTTTATTGCAATTTATTTTTTGCTTTAATTTATGATCTGATTTTATTTTCTGTATTACAGATATACTCCTGTGGGGCGATCTTTTTTCACAGCATCAGAAGGGTGCTCGAATCCATTGGGGGGTGGCAGAGAAGTTTGGTTTGGCTTCCATCAATCAGTCAGACCTTCGTTATGGAAAATGATGTTAAATATTGATGGTAGGTACTATAAAAATTTTTTTTGTCCCTTTTTCTTGCAGTGGAAAGGCAAAAATGTAGATCCATTTGATAGATTTCTAAAAGTTTCCTCAGTATGATGATATAACATTAATGTTTTTGTCTCCAGTATCTGCAACGGCATTTTACAAAGCACAGCCAGTTATCGAGTTTGTATGTGAAGTTTTGGACTTCAAAAGTATTGAAGAACAACAAAAACCTCTGACAGATTCCCAAAGGGTGAAGTTTACCAAAGAAATAAAAGGTAATAATTAAAGGACGTAGAACTACTTTGTTCTGTCTGATGTGTTGCCACCACACAGGCAAAATATTTTCTGTAGCAGTTGCCTTGTTGGGGAACAGATTATCGCAATGAATGGTGCACATAAAATTATTCAGCAAAACTAAGAGGCTAGAACCAATTTATTATATATATTTCAGGACTTTCAGAAGTCTACTGATCAATTTTATGTTTTTGGTCCACTTGTCTTTTTTTTTTTTTTTTTTACTATATTGGTTAATCTCTGTAGCTCGACAGAGTCACTTTGTGAATATAAGCAAAGCTGGATCAGTTCAGATAATTATGTGGCTTCAGGTTGATAAATCACTAGTATAAAAAGTTAAGTGAGCTTTTAATTTTTGAACTAGCCACACTTAAGGCTCAGGTATGCACGTAAGTAAATTATCAAATTTATAAATTTATCAAATTTATTTGAGATTCTGTTTTAACTATATATATGAGTGCCTTTTGCCTGTGGCAAATATAGGGTAGTTTAATTAGCTTTGCCCTTAATGAAGGTGCTTTAGTGAAACCATGGCTATGTCTTACTCTAAGTGATGGGATGAACTACAACTTTCTAGCAGATGGATGGTAATTTATTTTAGTGAGATTAATCACTTACTTAATGGCTTGTGACTTGTGCAAGCTTTTCCTCATTTAAGTGTAGGTTCTCTTGACATACCTTCATTTGTTTTGTGCCTCACCACCCCCAAGTCCCTTGACCAAGTGTCACGTCAAAGTTACTGGTGCCTGTTGGCATCTGAGAGTGCCTCAATGCAGAGGTATTAATCTTTTCAGCATATAAAGCATTATCCCTTATCGTATCATTTCTCTTCCCAAGTGAATATTGCTTTTTTGTATTTAGAAGTTAGATTTACTGTAGTGCTTTACTCTTCCTAAAGTCAGAAATACAAAAATTTCCTATTTTTCACATTTTTTAAACATCAGTAGTACCCATTCCAGTTTCATGACAAAGATCTTCCTAATCTAGTGATTTCAAAATGTTTACAAAGACTGAGATTTCATGTTGGTTCTTTAAATTACTTGATCTTATTATTTTCTAATTCCTTGTGTCGATATTTTCATATTCCAGATTTTATTAATAATTTAGCAGTGTGTTTTTGCATATTTAAATACATTTCATACAGACTCCTGGAAGTAAATTACAGTTATTCTAATATGTAATGATTGAATCTAAGGAAGGAAGGAATCTTCCTGCTTGTGTTCACTGAAGGTTTCTTCTGGAAAACTGAGGTCCTTCCTTCATGATATGCTTGATAGAAAGAAAACCAAGTTTATAAGAGAAAAGCTTCCTAAATCCATCATGCAGCTTCCTTGTTTCCACAAAATGTCCACAAAAATCATCTTTGCCCTACTAGAAGTTAGCAAGAAAAGTATAAATAAATCCTGAGTTTGTACTGCTTGTAAATGTTTTGAAAAAATAAGCGGGCACTGAATTGCCATCTGCTTTTTTCATTTTTCCCGTGAAGATTTTCATTCTTCAGATAGAAAACATCATCTCAAATCAGTAGTTGTAAATTGAGGTATCGAGGTAACAGTTTATCTTTCAATGAAAACACTGTGATTTTGCAGGTATTCATGAAAACTTGATATTTATTGAAGGTTTCATAATGGGCGGCACTGTGAGCCAATAACAAATTACGTGGAAAGATTAGTATGTTGTTTGGCAAGTTATTAGTGCCTTTGACAGATAGGGGAAATATGCACTGTTGGTTGGCAGCAGCTTGAGTTGATACACACGTGCAGATAGAGCAGGAATTCCTATTGACAGCCTCTCCTTCCCTATTCCCACACATTCAACTTCCCAGCTCTACCAGCCCACCTACACCTGTTTTGGTGGTTTGTTGGTTGGTTTTTTTTTTTCCCCCCACTGATTCATTAGTTTAGGGTTGGTTGTGATGGTTGGAGGTCTCACAGACACCGTACATTTAGCCATAAAGTACAAACAAGTTTTTGGTTTCAAGGAGGTTGTGTGCCCTTTTTGTCCTCCACCATCCTGGACTTCCTTAGAGGTACAGAATTGGAATTCGCTGAACGTGTTCAGCTTCCTCTGCAGACTCTTGGGGCTTTGAGATTTCATCTTGTCTCCAAAATTCTTTGTTGACCTTTGGCCGAAGCTTAGGGTTTTTTGAATTTTAAGACTATAAATCGTTTTTTTTTAAATTCTGTTCAGGATACACTTTGGTGCTTTGAGAACATGCTAAATAGTGAATAGCTTTACTGCACGGTGGTCTTGTGTAGCAGTTAAGGGGGCTGACACTTTGATTTTGAAGAAACAATGGTATGTGTTTTCCAATTTTTAGGTCTAAAGGTGGAGATAACACACTGTGGACAAATGAAAAGAAAGTACAGAGTGTGCAATGTCACCAGACGACCAGCAAGTCACCAAACGTAAAGTATTTTGCTTCTTTTTAAGTGTCTGTTTAATCTCAGGCTGGAAGAATATCTTGCCTGCCTTACATAGGAAAAGTTTGCTTTCTGTTGTCAATATATTTAAAACAAAGTATTTTCCTAATTTTGCCATTCTTTTGGTTCTATTTTTATTCTATAATGAATGTCATAGCATTGGAAAACATTGAAAGAACAGGGTGCCCTATTGGTAGTGTAATATTTCCCAGAACTGTTGAGTAGAAAAGTCGTGCCAGTTGGGATCAGCTTTCTAATTTTGCTTATTATCAACTATTTTTCCTCTGGAAAAAATGTTTATTTTTAATCATTAGCCAGAGAGTTGCAGATAACTTGAATATGGAGCTATTTATTCCCATTTTTGAGGAAGTAGCATAAGGAACAAAACTGATACCAGCTTTTTACAAGAAGATAACCCATCATTATCTAATTCTGGTATTTAAATGTTTGGGCTTTGTTTCGTGCTCTTTCAGTGATGAGTTATATTAATGCAAAGACAATATTTGTTCCCTCTTGATGTAAGTATATGCAGATGTGTGTGCATATATGGAAATGTATTTGTAATGTACAGAAAGAAAATGCATTTCTGAAGCCATAATTGGTTTTGTGACTTTATGAGCAGGCTTGTTATTTTCTGTGCATGGCATATCATAAAATGTAGTAGTGCAAATATCCCAAATAAGCAGAAAACGTTAGTCTTTGTCTCTAAGGCACCCGCTCTTGGGAAGTTTAATTTGTAGCTTCAGGTATCAAGAATGTTGGAGAAACAGCCCTTTGTGGTACTATCAGAAGAGAGATGGCAGTGGCAATGATGGAGTCTCAGTTATAGGAGTCTGCTTGTGTCATTTCAACAACACAGATTTAATCTCCAGTAAAGTTTAGCTTGTGTCCAGGAGTGTGTTAAGCAAACGTGGGAGAATATTCTGTGTAAAGTAATGGCTTATTTTCATATTTGATTTCCAACAGATTCCCACTTCAGCAGGAGAATGGACAAACAGTTGAATGCACTGTAGCTCAGTATTTTAAGGACAGGCACAAATTAGTTTTACGCTATCCTCACCTTCCATGTTTACAAGTTGGACAGGAGCAGAAACACACGTACCTTCCTCTCGAGGCAAGTACATTTTTTAGTTAATACTCCATTCTGGGAATGGGGGTAGGGGTGAAAGGGGAAAAAGGCTCAAATGTTGACCAACTGGTTTTTGAGTAGCCAACTTCAGACACTGTGTAACACAGTGACAAAAAAACCCTCACAAACGAACCAAACCAAAACCTAGTTGCATTGTGTTTTTTAACTTCTCTTTGCCTGGGGGTGTTTCAGGTGTGCAACATAGTGGCAGGACAAAGATGCATAAAGAAACTCACTGACAATCAAACTTCCACTATGATTCGAGCGACTGCCAGATCAGCACCTGACCGTCAAGAAGAGATTAGCAAACTGGTGAGTGTGCTCTTGAAGTTGAGCAGAGTGTAGTAAGTAGACTTAATTTGCCTTAATATTAGCAGATACTAAACAGTTTGTGCGCTGCACACAGGTTATGAACTTGTTTTTATAAGACTTTCTCTATTAATCCCAGAGAAATAAATTCTCAGAAAAGGTTTTCAGGTATTCTTTAGGTACTTTACTTAAAGTTTTGAAGCATCCATGTGTCCAAGTGGAATTACGAGAGGCTCTGAATGCTTGGCATCACCCACGCGTAAGGGATATGTGCCCAAATACTGGTTATCTCAGGAAGTTTTAGAGCTCATGAAAAGAACTTCTTTTTCTACAAGAAATAACTAATTCCTTTTCATTTCAGATGCGGAGCGCGAGTTTTAATACTGACCCTTACGTTCGTGAATTTGGAATAATGGTCAAAGATGAAATGACAGACGTGACCGGTAGAGTCCTGCAGCCTCCTTCCATCCTCTACGGAGGCCGGGTATGTCCAACAGATACTCTGCAATCTGTGATGGCTTCCACTGCCAGCTGTCCTAACTTCTGTAACACGGCTGTTTTCAGTTAATTATGTTGGATGTAAAGGGATGAATTCATCATAGGTATAATGTTTAGAACTTACATTTAAGTTTTGGAAGTCCTTAGATGTAATAGCCATGTTGCATCTCCCTCAATCGCTTGTTCATTTCTGAAAGTAAAGCTACAGTAAAAACACATTTCTGTAAACTTCAGAGAGAAATGGACGTGTTTTTCCTTCATGTGCTGTTTTATTGTGTGTTGCAAGAAGAAACCTGCAAATAGGGGTTCAAATTGGTGTGTATGGAGAGGAACAGAGACACCTTCAATGATTGCTGTTCATTTTTGCCTCTCCTAACTCTGAAATCTCCCTGAACCTCTGGGTGGTTTTTTTTAGTGTTCTTGGTGTTGACAACACCCTGTGTTATAAGCTGTGTTTAGGACAACTATCTTAAGGTGTTCTCTCTATCAGCATGTTCCTCTCCATATCTTCTTCTTGAAGTATTTTCTTGCCAACGTTTTTCTTTCTACAATGGCTTTTCCGATGGCCTTTCTGACATAATCCTCCTACTGAGGTGTCTTTCAAAAAAAGGATTTTCTACCAATTTTATAACGTATCTTGTTTTTATGCAAGATGAAAGCTTTGATAGTTAGGATAACTTAATTTGTGAAGGCTTCTGCTGAAGCTCTTCTTTGTCCCTGTGGCCCAAATTGGACTGTTCCCTCCATAAACCCGCAATGGGAGAGGATCTGGTGTTTTCTACCTAAATCAGGCAGATTAGCTCAAACCTGCCTTTGCTGCCAGGTTAAGAGAACCCGGCTGTCTCTGCCTGATCCTGATTAGGGAGGGTGCTCTCCTGATCTATTCCAGCACCAGGGGAAGAGGGGGAACAGGAGCTTAATGGCAGCTGAGTGATGGACAGTCAGAGTGGGGGAGGTACCGCTCTCCGCAGCCGCAACACTTTGCAAAATGAATTACCAAATTTATGCACGTCCTGAAAAATCCCCGTAAATTTTAGCCGTTGCTGTGAAACGGGAAGGCGGGCATCGTGGTAACTTGTCTAAAATATCTACTGGATCCTAATACTTATTAAGGTAATTAACATCACCAGAATGACTTTAGTCATCTTAATATATCCCTTGTCCTCTAGATAATCCATCACGGTAATGTCTGCTTGATGGATGAAAATAACTGTTGAGCGGGTCAAAGCTGAATAAGTGCTCATCTTTTGTCAGCTTGTTCACTTATTTTTTTTCTAGAGTTGTGTGAGTGACATCGAACCGCTATTTCCCTTTACTTAGTGATGCATAAAATATTGGTAATACTGAAATTAAGTCTCTTTTGGAAAGTTCACTGAGGGGTTGTAAAGTCGCAGTAGAAATGTACGTTCTCTTTCACGTTACATACCAAGCATGAGTCTGACTTACTGTCCATGTGTAATAGCTATCTGCTGCTGATTTATGATAACCAAAGGAAACCATCAACAATCAAAATGAACAATATGAGCTTTATTTTTATGAGCTTTATTTTTCATCAGGCTAGCAAGCTGTCTTGCTCCAGCGATAGACTAAGCTTTACAAGACAGATCTTTGAAGAGTGGAGAGAAACACCTGAGAATATAAATAGCCTTTGAGTTGGAGGGAAGCAGAAACACAACTGATTTTTGTTAGCCTGAATCAATTTTTGCAATAGTGTTTTGGTTTTGTTATTTCTCCTTCCAGAACAAAGCGATTGCTACACCAGTTCAAGGAGTCTGGGACATGAGGAATAAACAGTTTCACACTGGAATTGAAATAAAGGTTTGGGCCATTGCCTGCTTTGCTCCTCAGCGCCAGTGCACTGAAGTTCATCTGAAGTAAGTATGCTTCATAACATGATGACTTTATTGTTTATTATGTATGGAAATACCATAATTTCACTTATTTAGAATATATCTTTTGTTAAATTGTTTAGCATATGGCGATACATCCTTAACAGCGCTTTTGAGTTCTGTCTCTGTGTTTTGAATGATGCCAATATGATTTCATAGTGAAATCCTCCAAATCTGATTTATCAAAAGCAATTCATAGTGTGCAGCAGGTTTCGGACCAGTGAAGCCTCGGGACAGAGTTGACCAAAGTGATTGTAATGAAGGGTGTTTATCACCAAGTATTTGTCAAGAGTGAAAGCTAACAGGCGTGAAGTCTTGGGTTCTTTTCCTGGTTATATGGAATAGGTTTATTCGTGCAGAACTTATTTCAAAGGAAAATTCTAAAAAGCAATCCAACTTGTGGCTTAAACTTTCTGCCCTCCAGTGTTACCACAAAGTGCAAGTTTCTCTGTTTGGAAGATGAGTACGACTGGCTGTTTTGTTGACTTTGAGCATTTGAATGCAACTTCCCAATTTGGTTTCTCCTATCTTAGGATGGAATGGGATGGTTGAAAAGACTCTAGTTAAAAGTGACATCTGCTGTTCCTTAGATGAGGAAGAGCGTGCGTGCCTGTGTAAATGGGTTGTTTAATTCCTTCTTTTGCACATGGTTGTTTTCCATTCGTGCACAGACAAGCGTGGCTCTTCCAGCTGCCTTAGCAGGTGACTCAGCTGCTCTTTGAGAGGTGAATGCAAGACAGTGATTATTCTGATTATTCATAACAATGGTATTGCCGTAACAATGTTCCTTTAGATGATTTGCCAAATAGCTTGGGAATTTTTCCCTAACGAGTGGTGAGCAGACAGTGGAAATCTTACACGATGGGGGAAGAAAAGTAAAAGTTTAGGGATTTGGTCTCTCCAGGTACATGGCAGGCACTAAGCTGCCAGAGAATTTTCCCTTCCACACTGCTGCTTCTAGTAGAAGTGCTGCGTAGGAGAACTTAGTTTTGAGAGACAAGAAGAAGTCTTCAACGTAATGAGCCAAAATAAAATTATTTGATGGTTTAGATGGAGTTTGTCCTTACATGGAAGGACATTCCTTCGTTGGAGGAGTATTGGCTGCATCCAGTTGCAACTTGTTGCTTCTTGTTATGCCTTGTTGAGCAAGTTGGAACTCAGCTGCTGTAGATCCGTCAGAATCAACACCTTAAAAATCCCTAAAAGTCTTCAAAATCATCCTGCTTTACCTGTCAGGAACTGGGAGAGAACCTTTCCTTTTAGATGTAGTTCTTGTGGATGGACTTCTAAAGGCTCAAAGCCTGTACCATTTTAGACTTGCATGTTCTGCCTCTGACTCTTTCTGCTTATACTCACGGGTGCCTGTTTTGCCACAGAAAATGCTTAATTGCACGGATTATCTGTAAGAAGTCAGACATTACAGGACTGAAGCTCACAGACTGTTATGATTCATGAAAGTTAACAATGGGTTTAGAAGTTAACAATGGTATTTGAAGTGATGCTCCTGATGGTCATCAGTTGCCGTGCCATATTCTGCATCAAGGAAGAGTTTAAGTGTACAGTGGGTTTTTTTTCTGATAAAACTGGACTAGAGGATGTGGTTCAGCCCACCAGGCCACACTACAGCCACTCTGAAGAAAAGCCCCAGAAACACATGTAGTGTGGATGTTGGTCCCTCAGCACCAAGTCTTCTGCTCTACAGATCTGTGCTGTGACTCACTACTTGCTCATCTTGCCTTTGTTTATGGGGATGGGACTTATGGACTACTCAGTCACCATTGATGCAACCTGGAGGAGCCATGACTTTGAAGATACTTTCCAGACTGGGTATATTCTACAGAGACCAAGTCTTCTGCACTGAAGTGCTTTTGACTGTCTTGCTTACAGACACCTGGTGTCCCTTCAAAAAGAGAGAGACCCAAATGTTACCATGTTCTAACAAAGAGCCAGGAGGAGGATGGAGGCTTGCAGCTCAGCAGACCTTGCTCTCTGGTGGGGCTGAAGGAGCCTCCTCTGATAAAAGCCTCTGGCAAAATTAGGTTGTCTCTGTTTCTGACCTGTTCCATCAAAGAGTGACTTGTATTTGCACCACCCTTGGAGAAGGTTTCTCTTCACCCCAGGACACAGCTTTTCTCTGCTATCTAGCAAGGGGTTTTTGTGCATTATTATTGATGTTAGATGAGTTCATGAGACACAACTTCTGAGGACTTCTGTGGGGTGTTTTCCTCACCAAGAAAAGAGAAGGAGCTCCAGCCGTTTCTGCCGTGATACACATGGTAGCATGGTGGAGCAGGCTATCCAAAACCATCATCATTGCAGTGTTTTTGCAAAAAGTAGCTTTATCTCCTGTAGAAAGATCAAATTAGGTGCAATTTGCTTTGGAAGTGAAGTTTTAGTAATGGTGTTATTTACACAGCGTATTTCCTCATCTTCCCCATCTTTCCTTTGGTGTCTACGTTGACACAGTCAATCCAAGATGCACTTGGGGTAAATCCCCCATTTTTTGGACAGCATAACTCTGCAAGTTTAACAGAAGCCTTCCATTAAAAATAAGAAGACAAATGGAGGTGAATTTTGTGGCCTGAGACTCTCATGTCTTTATTTATATCCTTTAGGTCCTTTACAGAACAACTGAGGAAGATTTCCAGAGACGCGGGGATGCCCATCCAGGGGCAGCCGTGCTTCTGTAAATACGCGCAGGGAGCTGACAGTGTGGAGCCCATGTTCAGACATCTCAAGAACACCTACACTGGGCTGCAGCTTGTTGTAGTCATTTTGCCAGGAAAAACACCAGTTTACGGTCAGTAAGTGCAAATCGTGAGCGTGTGCCTTTCAGTCACCATTTCGTGTATTTTTTGTGGAGTGTCTGAATGAGAGAAGTTTAATTCTGGTTTAACGATTCTAGAATCAATTTGGGCAATGGGCTATAAATTAATTTTATTCTTCTTCTTGTGTTGCGTGATGTTTTATATTAAGGCCTTAATTATTTTTATTATTTTTGTCTGTGCTTTTAATTTGCTTTTCCACATTCTTCCTGTTGGTTGCATTTGAGAGGCGGTTTGTGAGGGAGAGAGCTAAACCAGGGCTTTTGAGAAACTGATATGCAGTGGATTAAAATATACTTACTATAATTTGTGTGCTAAAAATTCCAAGTGATTGAAGAATTAATGAATTCAAGAGCTGTGTAGCTTTTAGATCATCTTTGCTTACTCACGCCATCACCCTCTGGCAAAAAAAAAAACTTGTATGAAGGAGATATCTGCCAATTGCTTTTTCCTATTACAGAATTCTGGAGGAGCCATGACTTTGAAGATACTTTCCAGACTGGGTATATTCTACAGAGACCAAGTCTTCTGCACTGAAGTGCTTTTGACTGTCTTGCTTACAGACACCTGGTGTCCCTTCAAAAAGAGAGAGACCCAAATGTTACCATGTTCTAACAAAGAGCCAGGAGGAGGATGGAGGCTTGCAGCTCAGCAGACCTTGCTCTCTGGTGGGGCTGAAGGAGCCTCCTCTGATAAAAGCCTCTGGCAAAATTAGGTTGTCTCTGTTTCTGACCTGTTCCATCAAAGAGTGACTTGTATTTGCACCACCCTTGGAGAAGGTTTCTCTTCACCCCAGGACACAGCTTTTCTCTGCTATCTAGCAAGGGGTTTTTGTGCATTATTATTGATGTTAGATGAGTTCATGAGACACAACTTCTGAGGACTTCTGTGGGGTGTTTTCCTCACCAAGAAAAGAGAAGGAGCTCCAGCCGTTTCTGCCGTGATACACATGGTAGCATGGTGGAGCAGGCTATCCAAAACCATCATCATTGCAGTGTTTTTGCAAAAAGTAGCTTTATCTCCTGTAGAAAGATCAAATTAGGTGCAATTTGCTTTGGAAGTGAAGTTTTAGTAATGGTGTTATTTACACAGCGTATTTCCTCATCTTCCCCATCTTTCCTTTGGTGTCTACGTTGACACAGTCAATCCAAGATGCACTTGGGGTAAATCCCCCATTTTTTGGACAGCATAACTCTGCAAGTTTAACAGAAGCCTTCCATTAAAAATAAGAAGACAAATGGAGGTGAATTTTGTGGCCTGAGACTCTCATGTCTTTATTTATATCCTTTAGGTCCTTTACAGAACAACTGAGGAAGATTTCCAGAGACGCGGGGATGCCCATCCAGGGGCAGCCGTGCTTCTGTAAATACGCGCAGGGAGCTGACAGTGTGGAGCCCATGTTCAGACATCTCAAGAACACCTACACTGGGCTGCAGCTTGTTGTAGTCATTTTGCCAGGAAAAACACCAGTTTACGGTCAGTAAGTGCAAATCGTGAGCGTGTGCCTTTCAGTCACCATTTCGTGTATTTTTTGTGGAGTGTCTGAATGAGAGAAGTTTAATTCTGGTTTAACGATTCTAGAATCAATTTGGGCAATGGGCTATAAATTAATTTTATTCTTCTTCTTGTGTTGCGTGATGTTTTATATTAAGGCCTTAATTATTTTTATTATTTTTGTCTGTGCTTTTAATTTGCTTTTCCACATTCTTCCTGTTGGTTGCATTTGAGAGGCGGTTTGTGAGGGAGAGAGCTAAACCAGGGCTTTTGAGAAACTGATATGCAGTGGATTAAAATATACTTACTATAATTTGTGTGCTAAAAATTCCAAGTGATTGAAGAATTAATGAATTCAAGAGCTGTGTAGCTTTTAGATCATCTTTGCTTACTCACGCCATCACCCTCTGGCAAAAAAAAAAACTTGTATGAAGGAGATATCTGCCAATTGCTTTTTCCTATTACAGAATTACAGATTGATATGGGGTTGGAAGGGACCTCTGGAGGTCATCTAATCCAACCCCAATCCCAAAGCAGGGTCACCCAGAGTGGGTTGCACAGGAACATGTCCAGGTGGGTTTGGAATGTCTCCAGAGAAGGAGACTCCATCACCTCTCTGGGCAGCCTGTTCCAGGGCTCTGCCACCCTCAAAGGAAAGAAGTTCCTCCTCATGTTTAGAAGGAACTTCTTATGTTCAAGTTTGTGGCCATTTCCTCTTGTCCTGTCCCTGGGCACCACTGGAAAAAGACTGGCCCCATCCTCCTGACACCCACCCTTTAACTATTTATAGGTGAAACTATGGAAGGTGAAAACTCAGCAATTTAAACTGATTTTTGGAATGAGATTGACAGTTGGTGCATTTTACATAGCACATATGCATGGGTTTAAACATGTTTTGGATAAACCATGCATTTTGTTTTTAACCAGCTCTTCATAAAGGCAGGACTGCTCATTTTCTTATGCTGCCTTCCTCCCTTTTTCACTTTCCTTGCCTAATTGCAGCATCAGCCACTGTTTTTCTCCCGTAGCTTCATGGACTCTCTTCTCTAATGGCTCAGACCTACCAAGCAGCTGCAGATTTTTCTCCCATCCGTCACCAATTTAATATAGCAGAAAGTAATTTCCTAACTTTCTTTTCCCAAGATTATCACATAAAAAGGTAAAAAGAGAGTTTAAAAAAGGACCCTTAAGGAAATAGTATCTTTTTTTCCACTTTGAATTCAGCCTTGCAAAGGAAGTTGCTCGTCTCTACTTTGTTCAATAGAGAATTCAGTGCAAAATGACATCTTTGCTTTGCTGCTTTGCATTAAAAGGGGGACTCTTTCCTCTACTTAACCACGGAAAGGATGTGGTAACACTAGCATCTGCTTTCCTTGTCATTATCTTTAATTATAGCTCCTTCTGCCCCCTCTAATTATCTGTTTTCCCCCTGTGCTCTTCCATGCTCCTGCACTTCCAGTACCCACCGTCTTGATTTTCCTCCTCTTCTCACCCTGCTCCTTGCAAAGCCCCGTTCCCTCCCCCGTTGCCAAAGAGGGGGTTGCATCTTCTCTGATGAAAAGATGAGCCTAAATTTTGTCATTTCCTGTGTTACGGCTTTTCCTGAGGTTATGGCTCTCTTAAAGCCTTTAAGTCTCAATTCTGTTGTTAAGATTTATTTTAACCTTTTAAATGCTATAGTGCTTAATGATTTTTTTTTTTTGGAGTTTTTATGGGCCATCCTTTGCTAAACTGGTCAGATTTAAGGCAAGTGGTAAACTTTCAGTGAAGAACTGGTGACCTGGTTGGTTGAATATTACTCAGCACCTTATTATTAAGTTTGTGTTACTCGTTCAGTTTTTAATGATGAAACAAGTGCTCACCATCCTAATAATTATTCACATTTCCTACTCCGTTAGCCAAAGGTTCTTCTATGCTGATAATAAAACACTATGATGCTAAAATTGGAATCAGTGTAACTTAAAAAAAATTCTCAGTTTAAATGAGCCAGCAGCATCTTTAGTTGTATTTAGGACGCAGTTCCTGCGCTGTCAGCAGCACAGAACTGGGAGAAGGTTTATTGGACACTGGGGTTGGGTTTGGGGTTAACTTTCTTGTTGTTTCTTTAAGCTTAATGACCTCATGGCTAAAACTCTAGGTTTGGTTAATTCTCACTGAACCGAAGTCTCCTACGTTGTTTGATATGCAATATGCAAATATTTTAATCATTTTTTGCTTCGTTTTGCAGCGGAGGTGAAGCGCGTCGGCGACACCGTGCTGGGAATGGCTACGCAGTGTGTGCAGATGAAAAATGTGCAAAGAACAACACCCCAAACTCTGTCTAACCTTTGCTTAAAAATAAATGTCAAATTAGGAGGCGTAAATAATATTTTGCTGCCACAGGGAAGGTAAGCCATCTGCAGAGAGGAAGAGGGTGTTGTATTGTAAAGAACTGGAGAGGAATACTTGTTCCAGCTGAAATATATAATGAAAATATTATTATTGCAGTCTGACCATTTAATTATGCAACTTTTCTTTGAATGAAAAATCTACAATTTGCATGGAGTTTTCAGTAACAAATAGAGACCATCTTGAATAGTGATGCATTTTCCTTTTTAGTTTAATTATGGTCAAGATTCTTCATTTTGTTGCACGTCCTAACTTACACAGACATTTAAAAAAACAAAAGCTGGGAGGAGAAAGCTCTTAATTGGTTTCCAGGTCCAGTTTATCTTGCAATTTTCTTATTAGTATTACATTGATAAGTTTAATTATACTGTGACTATGTTCTGCGAAGTTGCTTTGATACTATTGAATTCTGTAGCAGACCTGTCACTGAATCCCTGCTTGTAATTAAATGGGAGTAAAATAAATATCTTACTTGTAGAAAAAGGAGGGACTCTGCTGTTAAAAATTGTTTGGTTTGTGTATCGTCTGAAATATCCTTAAATTGAAGCTTTTAATCAGTTTTACTGAAAAATCAGTGACAAGAAACGCTAGTGGAAGAATGAACAAAATCCAGCTTGTTTTGTCGTACCTGTGCAGGATAGACAAGGCTAGCATAAAGAGAAATAAAATTAATTCTATAAAATTATTTCAATCAAATTGAGCAACTAGGCTTCCGTGTCAGTAAAAAGATGGAGTTTTTACAATCCTTGCATTTCAAGTTGTAGAGAGAGCTCAGGGAACAACCTGCTACATCATTCTTGGGAGCCTTCTTGAAAGAAGTAAACATGCTGTTTTGCACAGATAAGCACATTTTCACGTTGTGTTTAGGCTGGTCTGAAGGCAGCTGCTTAAAAATAATCCAACAACAAGTAGTTCAGGAGGGAAAAAGAACACGTTATCGGAAGGACTATATATTTTGTGTATCTTGTAAAGTTCTGTTTCTTGAAATAAAGATGCCCAGCCTGGGTAATGTGCTTTTGGAGGCTTCTATTGAAGCAACTAAAAATCATCGTGCTGCAGAGCATGCATTCCAAAAAAGGCACAGAGGGGTTTTGGGGGTGTTTTGTTGTTGCCCTTTTCTAAAAAGGAGTTACAGATACTTCTGTGGAAACAAAACAGAAACACACACACACCCCCCATATAAATAGCCTTATCCTGGATTCATAAACATAAGTTCTCTGTTAAATGGTGTGTGCTGACAGCAATAATGGGGCCAGAAAGTTGAATTCTGCTCATTATACCAATGAAATATGCGTTCGTGAAAATAAGAGTTAAATAAAGGGGAAAAGCCAAAATGGCATAACTACACAGAACACCCAGACCTCCTATAGAACTGCTGGTTTGGGTATTTAGAACGTAACTCTTTAATTATTATTTTCTGTTGGGATGGGAATAGAACAGTTTTTTATCGGTATAATTGCATCGTAAGTTATATTGTCATAATTACCTTCAAATTCCTTTTTGGAGAAACTCTGAAAACAGCAGAATCTGTCCATGTTATCATTCCCCTCCAACATCTACATACACATGAAAAAATTCTGGTGGCCTAAGATCTCCTGTTTACAAGTGTATTATTAAGGAATAGAGTTGAAACTTAAAACTTCCAATGTAACGTTTTGGTGCTCTGTTCTTGATGCAGGGGATTAATATTTTAACTTAAATGTTTTAAAAATTTGAAGCATAGTTTTAAAAAAATAATCTTTTTTAAAAAATAATACCTACGATGTCCATAATTTTTGTAGTTCTTTACCAGTGCTGGTTTTTTCTTCAGAAACAAAATCACAGCATCTGTAGGCATACACAGTCCTTACATTTTCTCAGGTGCTGTTTAGTGCCAAAGAATCAAATCTTACTCTTTTCTGTGGTCTAGTTAATAAAGGCTGCATTTCTCGAAGTTAAAGAAATGGATTTCTTTTTTTTACTGATTTTTTTTTTTAAATGAAAAGTAATAATTATCTATTTACTTGAGTTCCTTGCTGCTTTTACAAATTTGCCTTCTCTTTACCAGACCACCAGTATTTCAACAGCCCGTCATATTCCTTGGTGCTGATGTAACTCATCCGCCAGCGGGAGATGGAAAAAAGCCTTCCATTGCTGCAGTGAGTAAATTCATAATGATCTTTAACCCCTGCTCTCTCCTGCTGCTCAGCTCTAATGTGTTTTGGTACTTTCAATTCTTTCGTGGTCCATTTCTCCTGATTGCCTAATTATAGTATTATAAACTATTTTTCTGCAGGAATCTAATGAAACTTCGGAGAGCTCGCTCTCATACTAATTACTTAAATTACCTTATAAAATGCCTGAGATGCTAATACACAGAGGAGCTTTTCTATTAGCTGATACTTACCAGCAACTTCTAATAAGCTGATGTGTGCTTAAATCTGCTTTTTCAGCAGCTAAAAATGTTAAGAATTATCTGTTGCTGATGGGGGACGAGGCTGACTCTGTTGTGGGCTTTGGGGGGTTCAGGCTTCCTGACAACACGATAATATCTTGGAAATTTGTGGAATATCTTGGAATATTGTGCAATAATATCTTGGAAATTTACTCCTTTAATATATGTGGAGGGGCTTTGCCTTGCATTATGTCAAACACTTGTCACAGCTGCTCTGGCTTAGGTAATAATGAAGATCTTTGGTGACAGGATGTGCAGGGCTTAGCTCTGGTGCTAAATAAACAAGAAAATACCTGTTTATAAAAGTTAGACATCTATGTCCAGGGAAAAGCAGGTGACAATGTCCTTAATTGCGATTTTTGAGATAAAGAATTTGGAATTTTTTTTTTTGCTTATATTTAATTCCATGCCACTTTAAAAATACATGAATTTTGAGGTTTCATAAACAAAAAATCCTTAGTGAGAGGTGTCTGTCTGGTGTGGATGTTTCTGTGGAGCTTCCCCATTTCAGTTTTACAGATTCACCCGCAGTGTCCCAGAAAGGGACCCTTGGTCTTCAGGCATTCAAATTCCTGTCTTGCAGTTAGAACTAAATCAATGGTGTTATGGTCTCAGTGCTCCAAATTGTATTTGTATTTTTAGCTGCGTGTAGGTGCAAACAGGGAATTAAGTTTTTAGATTTAAAAAAAGGTTTTGGTTTCAGCAGAGTATGTTACCAAAGGTTGACTGAACTCAGAGCTCTTTCCCAGCACATCATGATTCTGATCTTCACTTGGTCAACCCTTAGTTTGCAAGATACAGTTAAAAAGGGCATTTATTTTCACGAAATACCTTTATTAAAGTCTTGTTAGATTTGCTTGGATACTAAGCATTTTTTTCAACAGGTTGTAGGAAGCATGGACGCTCATCCTAACCGATACTGTGCCACTGTTCGCGTCCAGCAGCACCGCCAAGAGATCATCCAGGATCTGGCTGCCATGGTCAGGGAGCTGCTTATTCAGTTCTACAAATCGACCAGATTTAAACCAACTCGGATAATCTTCTACAGAGATGGTGTTTCCGAGGGGCAGTTCCAACAGGTTATATTTTTTCTTTTGGAGATGGCTTTATGTAGTTTTCTGGTAGTAGATAAAGTTTGATGTGATTGGAGTTACGAAAAGTACGCTCTCAACAAATCTTCCCTTAATAAATTTGTTGGATTCTAACCAAGCAGAGCAGGGAAAGTGTTTTCATACTTTTTCATGACCTTCTTCAATACTTTTTTCCCTTTAAAATACTTCCCTTTTGCAAAAGTAAATGACAAAATATAGTTGTAGCACGTGATTATGTTCAACATCTGTGACCTATTTAAGATACATGAGTCAAACTGGATCCTATAGAACATGGACAGTAAAGAAAAACTAAGTGTGAGCTTATTTTCCTAAATTTTTAACCAGGATTAGTAAATCCTGTATTTCCACACTGTCCCTTTTCGTTCATTTCTGCTAAAATTCAACAATCCCATATTTTATGAAATCTATATATCTTAAATATATTCACATACACTTTCATTTCCAGTATTTTTATATGTAAATTAAAAGATACAGATCTTAGTCAACTTCTCAAAATCCAAGAGGAAGGGAGTAAAGGTCACTTAGTAAATTGAATTAATATAACTAATCTTTGTATGGACTTTTAATATTTTTTTCCCCACTGAACACTGTTTTTCACTGAATTTTTAATTTCTGATTAACGCACATCCCAAATTGTTGCTTTTTGGTTTATTGCACTTCCCCCTCTCTCAGTTTTTCTTGATGCCTTTAGTCCTGCATGAGAGTTCCCAAAGCTGGGACAGAGTATGCAGTTGAGCAATTCTGGATTTTACTCCTTGTACTAGTCTGAAAAATAATTGGGCTGTTGTATATTCAAAAGCCTAATTAAATGTTCATTTGTTTTTGGCAAAGTTAAAAAGATTTTGACATAGAGCTTATTAGTGTGAGCCTCGTGCTTGGAGCTGAACAAATATGGAACCAGCTCTTGCCTGGCTCAGGAAAACTGGTGATCTAATTTGTTCTCATTAAGTGAAGAAATTAAGGTTTGACCCTGCAACGCTTTGATATCTCATTGCTCTGAGCCACAACGTGAGAAGGAATGTGATAATTAAGAGTAATCTGTGCGATGGCTGTCCTTCATATTTATCACACCTCTTTGTGTTTCTGCTTCAGGTTCTCCATCACGAGTTGCTGGCTATCAGAGAAGCGTGCATCAAGCTGGAGAAGGATTACCAGCCTGGCATTACCTTCATCGTTGTGCAGAAAAGGCATCACACCAGACTCTTCTGTACAGACAAAAACGAGCGGGTATGTCCTAATTGTGACCAGCAAATATCTATCAGGCAGCCAAGTTACCTTTTACTGCTTATTTAAGCAGTTGGAGACTTTTTTAAAGAACTACATAACATAGTGGGTGAGATCTTTCTGCTTGGAAAGGAAAACCTTCATTTTCTGTTTATTTTCTGACTGTTTATTTTCTCTCCCATATCATAAACTGTCAGCAGGATGTGCTTTTCAACAACTCTGCCCACCCTTTTTTAAGCTCATCAAAGTTTTCAAGTTTCTTTTCAGTTTTTCTAGTTTCCAGATCCTCCAGGACTGAGATTGGTCTGAGTGGTGTAGGGTTTAAAATGTAGATATCTTCAAGAATACTTTCTTTTCCGTTAATGCTACATTTAAGTTATTAGAGGTGTCTAATCTCTTAGACACTTGGATTTTGGTTTTGGGCATATCAAGTGTCACAACACATTATTTATAGTACTTAAATCAAATTTGAGTCCTCATCTCAATTTGTTTTTTTAAGTGAGTGTTTCGTAGTTGTTTTTGCATCTGTGTGAAGTACATCTAGAAATATTTGGTTGCTCCTTTCTAGGTGGAGAGGAGACTCCCCGAGTCTAGGATGGAGTCGTTGCTGTAAATAAGAGTTACTAATTGCAAGCTTCTGTTCACAGACAGGGTTTTTCATGTTCTTTTTCCTTTTATCAGGCTTCTCTGTGAGCATTGGAAGCCCACTAGGCTTCAAGGCGATAATTAATAACTTCTAATGCTGCCATAGAGGTGGTTTTTATATTGATAACATGCTGGGATTACAGTTGTTAAGTTGTTTTAAAATAAAGAGTATTTTTAAGTGTTTTTGAGGGAAGGAGAGGCCTGTCTTACAGCGATGTTTATACCTGGAAGAGGATAATCCAAAGTAAGTTACAGAGGAATAACCTGTCCTGGAATGGGAAGGTGAAAAGAATTTGACAAATCACGTGTAGGAAATTTTTTCTTTAATCAGAAAAGCTTATCTTTGTAGGTAACTTCTAAGAAGATTTTGCAGCTCCTCTTTTATTTTCCCTCCATAACAGAGCACTCCAGATTTTCAGCTGAACGAAGTATCAGGTTTCCTCACTCTTTCTTGACTTTTTGCTTTTTACAGATTTTTTTCACATACTTTTTTCTTGTGGTTTTTTTCCTTATTATACAGCTGAAAAGAAAAAGTGTGGGCCTTAATTGTATTTGCACTTTCTGTTCCCACAGGTTGGGAAAAGCGGGAACATTCCAGCTGGTACCACAGTGGACACAAAAATCACCCACCCGTCGGAGTTTGACTTCTACCTGTGCAGTCACGCTGGGATTCAGGTACAGCCTTCTGGGGGGTGCTGGCTTTCAGAGAGAGCTCTGCCTGTTGCTATTTCTCACATTCTTTGAGGAGCAGACAAACGTTCCAGCTCCCATCTGTGTATTTGGGCTTCTCATCTGTGCCATCCACTGCGCTCCTCTGCCATCCTTAAAATCTGAAAGACATAATGAAACATTAATGAGAGATGCAGCACACCCTGTGCGTTTAGTTTGTTTTGCTTCTCTGCTGTCTGTGCTGCTTTGAATGGTCACAGAGGATTTGGAGTATTTACAGAGCTGCTTCTCCCATTAAATTCTCCTGAAATGGGCATCCAGTTACTAGGAAACAACTCAATACAAGAGAGATCTGGAGGTGCTGGAGCGAGTGCAGAGGAGGGCAACGAAACTAGTGAAGGGCCTAGAAGACAAATCATATGAAGAGCGGCTGAAGGAGCTGGGGCTGTTTAGTATGAGGAAGAGGAGGCTGAGGGGAGACCTCATCACTCTCTACAACTACTTGAAAGGACACTGTAGAGAGGTTGGTGCTGGTCTCTTCTCACAGGTAATTAACAATAGAACGAGAGGGAACGGCTTCAAGCTCCAACAGGGGAGGTTTAGATTGAACATTAGGAAGGAATTTTTCACTGAAAGAGTGGTCGGGCATTGGAACAGGCTGCCCAGGGAGGGGGTGGAGTCACCATCCCTGGCTGTGTTTAAGGGATGTTTAGATGCGGTACTGAGGGATATGGTGTAGGGGAGGACTTTGTAGAGTAGGGGAGATGGTTGGACTCGATGATCCCAAGGGTCTCTTCCAACCTCAATGATTCTATGAATACATTTAGATAGTGTTATTGTAGTTTCACATTTTCTTGTGATTTCCTCTTCCCAGTCAGAAGCTATTAATCAACAACAGCACTGAAAGTCAACATTTTATACTGTCTATTAAAGCATATTCAGTAGGGGCACAGGTTAGGTTGCTGCAGGCTATTAATGTTTTGCTTGAAGGTACTTTCTGTGATGGCTTTTTGTCAGATCCAAGTTTCTCGAGATGAAAGTGCATTTTGGGAAGATCATTTAATTTCAGTAGCAGGGATGAAGTTCTAGCAAATGCAATCCTGCCTGAAAATGCAAAGGGATTGGTTACGTGGGGAGCAAGGAGGGAGGTGGTTTGCCTTTAAAAAGGAAAAATTTGCCCAAGTATCAAGAATTGCTCACATGATTTTTGAGGAAGCACCCAGTGAATACTGCAATTCACCTGAGAGGTGGAAATTTAAAGATTTGTTTTTTGAAAGGCTGACATCCTGTGTGATTTGCCTTCAAGGGAACGAGCAGACCTTCTCATTACCACGTCCTCTGGGATGACAATCGTTTCTCTTCGGATGAGCTGCAGATCCTTACCTACCAGCTGTGTCATACGTACGTACGCTGTACCCGTTCCGTTTCCATCCCTGCACCAGCATATTACGCCCACCTGGTTGCCTTCAGAGCCAGGTATCATCTGGTGGATAAAGAACACGACAGGTGAGTTGTGTGATTTTCAATTATTACAGAATTTGAAAGAAATTCAGGAAGGAAATGGGCTTGTGAATTCTGGGGTGAGCGGTATCCCCAATTAGCAGTTTGATGGTAAATTTGGTTTTAACACTGAATTATAGTGGGGGGGGAAAGCAGAAGTTCCTGTGTGCTTCTGTGCTTTTTGCTGTTTCAGAACTTCAGTGGTGGTTTAAGGGTAATTAACTTTTGACCATTCTGTTCAGATGAAACGAATGATACGCAAACATTGTACGCGAGGAGAGGCAGATGAAATAGGCTTTTACTTCCTTCCCCCCCAAACCTCTGTTTTGTTTTTCCCCTCCCCTCCCTTCTCTTTCAGTGCTGAAGGAAGCCACACTTCGGGTCAGAGTAATGGCAGAGATCATCAAGCACTTGCTAAAGCAGTTCAAGTTCATCAGGACACCTTGCGCACTATGTACTTTGCTTGACATGTTTTAATGTTTAGCGACTCAGTACAATCCAGAGGTGGATTCACACGAGACCAGCTGCACTTAGACCAACAGTTGCCCGAGCTACAGTGACAGCCAGCAATGAGTGATGCATCTTAAGTTTATTTTATTTTTTTTCCCCTCTGTTTGCAAGAAAGCCTTCCGTCCAAAATTTCAGTCTTGATCATGAACTGCATTCTTGTACCAAACCCCGCTATTGTTGGAAATGTGGTTTGCCAAAAAAAATAATCTCTAAGCTGCTTGGTATAAAACAGACCCATATTTTATAATTCAATCGAGAGCTGTGATCTCAGGGCTTAGGGAAAAAAAAACCCAAACCCAACCCACAAAACTCCTCATTCAGTTTGCTATTCAATGAATCGCTTTTAATAATTTGGAAAGACCTAATTCCTACTAAATTTTGATGGGCTACAATGCTGTGAATGAGCTTTTAATACAAAGAAAAGCAAATCTTTTTTTGACTATTTATGAAGCCTTGATTATTCTAGATGCATTTACAAAATTTTTATTTTCAAGAGAGTGACAAAATCCTGGTTTTCAACTGTCTTATAAAGATTCTTCTCTGTGTGTCTAAGGGCAAATGTATTTTCTGAAGCTTGTTCTTGAATGTTTTTTATTGTGCTGCATTTGAAAATGTTTTTCATAGACTAAAGAAGAATTTTAAAAAACAGAATGAACTTGTACCTAAGCTTTTACTAGGTCGTTAGATTGGCAAAAGAAAATGTGCCATTTAAAAAAAAAGAAAAAAAAATTGTAAAGAATTTTTTTAAAATCATACTGACAGCTAACTTTAGAATTTGTCATACAGGACTGTGACACTTACTTTCCAAAGTCTCTAAAGAATACGGGTCTGTGGTGATAAATCCAGTACAATCCTTTTTCACTGTTGTTTGAGTTAATGTAAATTTTATATATGTTTCACAGTATTAATGTGATAGACTAGATGCTATTATTTATTTTTATTTACTAAGGAGTGCTCATTATAATTCTGTTAACATATCAAGAATGCTTTGGAGTTAGAAATGAAAACCTTATGGTGGGGACAGTACTATTCAAATGCAAAAAAATATGCAATTCACTTGGCTGTGAGAGTTGAGGGATGCGTCCAGTCTGTGTCGTAGGGCTTGGAATTGGTAGAAAGGCTCTTTAAGCCTGCACACAACGGAGCAGGTTTTACCTGTGCAGTTCAGAGACGCACACGAGACCGACATCCTACGTTCATTCAAGCACAAAACAATTGTATTTTATTTATATGTTGAGTATTGGTAAAGCAGGAGCTCCGGTAGAGGAGAGCGGCTCACTGTAATTTAGAGGAAAGTCAGAGAATCTATGCAGTAAAGATAAATCTTAGGAAACTGAAGTTTACTTATGAAGGGGGAGGTTGAAACTCTCTTCATTATGCATAAGGTCAATAGTAAATGGGAGAGTTTCGCCATTCTCTTAGGAGAAGCATTAACTAGAACTGATAATTACCAGACAAACGCTTCTGTTAGTTTGCACACTGGGTTCATTAAAAAAAAACCAACCATAATACATATATAAACCATTGCACTAATCCTGATGCCACAAGGAAGTTTAGAAGAAAATGGAAAAAAGCCCAGGAAACTTGTTTATGCTGACTTGATTTTTGTTTATTTTTCATAACTGAAATAACACGTTAAGAGGCAGGTTCTGTAAAATTTCTTTCTCTTCCATGGCTGTGTTTGGCTTTGTCTCTTCCCTTCTCTCTCAGCAGATGCTGGGTCGCTGTTGTGAATACATTTACCTCTAGCCCCTGGGCTGGGCGAGTAGCTTTAACCAGGAACAGAGCTCTGTGCCATACAGACCACGACCCGTTGCTCTCCAATAAGCTAGAAAATGCCCAACTTTTGCTGCATAAAAGAGTTTTAGGTACATGAACTTGTGCGAGTTCAGATCTTCGCCTCGGAGCAGCGCGGTGGCTGTTGGTGGTGTTCAGGTGAAATAACAATGTAAAACCTATCAGTAGATGAATTGGGGTGATTTAATTCGGTGATTAGGGCTGCTGGGTAAGATTGTCTTCTTGGTCGTGGTTGTGTAAATCCAGATGTAAAATTTTGGTGGTTTAACAGGAAGCAAATTTCTTTTTTTCTTATCTTTCCGTGTCCCAGCCCGGTTGTACGTACCTCCCCTGAACTGCAGAACCCTTCCCTGGTGGGCACGTTGCCCTTCTCTCTGCATTTGCTTGAGAGGTTGCAGATTTCCATGAAAATTCTAATTTGATGGAGTTTTATATAAGAATTATTTTTTTATATGAATTATTCTAAAAAAAAAAGGAAAAAGATCAAGCCGTTTAAGGCGCCGTTTAGTTGATTTGCTGTTTGTTACGCAGAGACCTCTTGGATGGGAAATTCATCCCTCCTCTTTCTGGGTGGATCTGGAATGATGGACTTCCTGCAGGTGGTCAGATGGGGCGAGGAGGGCAGAACCTCTCTTGACCTCAGATCTTATTTCCCAAGCAGATGATGGGACTTCTCTGCCTCCTCTTTGGGCTGGAATAGTCGTTGCAGCTGAGAAAAGGAGTTTTTGTGAGAAAAGGAGTCTTATCCAGACCCTTCATCTGAGAGTAGCTGTTGTCTGTGTATCCTCTTGGAACAAACAGCAATTTGTGTAGCTTTCCCTGAGTATGAAGAACTTGGGATGGTTTATGTGCATTTCAGGCCAGGGACATTTTTACCTTTTACAGATCTTTTGAAGCCTCTTGATACTGCTAATTCTTTATGGCTTGATTTCTCCCTCCTTTCCCCTCCCACCTCCTGCAAGCGGTCAATTAGTGAATCATTTAAAGCATTTTTCTATTGAAAAAAAAAATAATTTGATGAAGTGTATACTTTGAAAAGTACAACGTGCTAGAAATCCAGCAGCTCTTCTTTCTGGGAATAACTTTTATATAAAAAATATATAGTAAAAAATGTCTCTTGTCAAAAAAACCAAACCCCAACACCCACTATGAACACCTAAAACCCTACTCTTATTATTATTTTTTCTTACCTCCCACGTGTCTTGTAAGAACAGCAATATCTCAGGTAAACACAAAGCTCAAGATGTCTCTGTCTCACCCACGTTCCTGCTGTTGAAGCCACAGCTGAGGTTGACAGTCAGAACCACTAAGTCACTATGCAGCTCAGGTCAGCAATAACCAAACGTGCGTTACCCTCCGGCAGTTGGGGTTGGCTTTTGGGGTTTTTGGGTTCATTTTCAGCCCGTGGAAAGGAGTTGGGTGGCTCCTGCTGCACGAGAGCAGGGACCTCAGCCCTTGAGTTCCTCTTGCTCTCCATTACCTTCCTGCCGATGACCAAATTTTGCTTGAATTTGGTGGTCGGTGCAGGTGGTCCTGGTGCTCAGTGGTCTGAAAACTGATCATAATTCCACCCCGGTGACAAAAAAACCCTCTTATTCCCATGGAAGGTGTGAGTGGTGGGATGGACAAACTGACCACTCCCAGCACTGTTCCTTTTGCTTTAAAGGAGCGTGCTTGAGAGATGAAGAGATACTAATGAGTTGGTTTTTTGTATCAAAATGGTAACACTATTGAAACAAAAATGCTCAAAGGCTGAGGCAAGTTGTAGAATCTCTGTCCTCGGAGAAGCTCAAAGTTGGCTGGAGAAAGTCCCCTTGCTGGACCTGCATTTGGGCTGGACCAGACATCTCCAGAGAGTCCTTCCGAGGCACGTGGTTCTGGAGCAACCCCAAAAACCCAAGAGGAGCAAAGCACGAAATGCTCCTGGTGGGAGGTGAAAAATAATAGCGACCAAGAGAAAATACTTAAAAGTTGTCTTTTTTAATTTTTTTAAAATGTAGGAGATAGCAAGTCTAATTATTACATTCTTAGTTTTGGAAATTTCCTCTCTGGTGGCTGAATCCTATAACATTGTCCACTCCACCTCTTCCTCCACCCAGAAGACACAGAGTTGAGTCAATCCCTGAGAGGAAATGTCCTGTTGGGACCTGTTTGGAAGCGGGTGGGTTTGTCTCTGCCTTATGTCAGGGTGGCATTCAAGATAGCCCTATGCAATCTTAACACTCTTATATATGCACTGATGGATGGAGTGAGATCCCTTGGTTTTGTTAGAATTCCTTATTTTGGCTTGGTTTGGGTTAGAGTATTTCAGCAACCGCGTTTGGCTTGATGTTACCATCAACGATCTGTGTTAGGGAAGCTTTGGTGGATTCATTCCCTTGTTTCTAGATCTGTCAAGTTTTGGGAGAGTCGTCAGGGAAGGGTGGTGTGACTTAAAATGTTGGAGCCAGCACGGAAAACTTAGGGGAAACTTTTATGCTTAAAACAAGAAATCCATAATAACTATTTTTTTGATCTTCACCCAGGCCTCCAGGCAACGCTCCCTGATCGTAAAAGCCAAGAGGTTGTGAAGGTTTGGCTTTAATTCTGACTCCATCAATAACTCCTCCAGCCTTTGTCCATTTTTTAACGTGAGTTAATGCTGTTCAGATGTCAGTAGATAATTTTTATAACTAAGACAAGAGAGACTATTTCCACAAGAATTTTAAATTTAAGCTTTTGGTGAGGGTGAGGTATTAGGTTTGTGCCATGCCCAGGTTACTTTGTGAAAAGATTGAAGTTTCTGATGGAGTGAAGGTGGTTCTGAAGCTTTTGTCTAAAATCCTACGTGTATTTACACAAAAGCTTTCTGTTAAACAGAAGCTTGTGGCCTGGAGGGGTTTGTGCGTCGCTGCCAACGCTGTTTCCTTTCCTGCAGCAGTAAATTCCTCAAACACGGTGGTCGTTGGTGTCTCACCTCCAGAAACCCTCTTCCTCGTGCCAATGGATCCCTGAAATTTAACTGGGAGCAAGGACCAGGGGTAAGGTCTGTGTTAACAGCCCCCCCCAGCCAAATTCATTCGATGGCTCTAGGCTTTTTACTCTTACATGCAGATTTTGAGGAAGAAAATGGTGATATTTTGAGGTAGAGCAGGTTGGTTCTACAAGTCAAGATTATTCAAAACTTACTCAAAACTACAGGTGCTGGAAATGCAGGAGTGGGACCTTTGGAGGTTGAGATGGATGCACTTGGCTCTTGACATAACCCAGGAGCATCTCTGATGGCAAAAATAACCCATAAGGGACTTTTTCCTTTTTCTTTTTTAAGAGAACTTTTACACGTTAAATAAACGAATGTAAAAAAAACCTCTCAGTATTTTTCACACTCGATACCGGTGTAATAAAAACACATTTTTGTCCTGTTTTTTTAGTACCCTACTCCTACAGTAGCATCTCTTTTTGTGGATTTTTCCTGCCAGCGTGGCTTTCTCAATTTCTAATGCAGGACAGTACGTTGGTTTGATTTTTTTTTTTAACTTTTATATTCCAGTTGTTAACATGCTTCCTGAGGCATACATGCAGTCTTTTTCTAAGGAAAACTTCAAGTAGAAGGTAATTGCACTGATTGTTTTTGTGTGTGTTTTTTTTTTTTAAAAAAAAAACCCTCCCTTTTTACTGTAAAACTTCCTTTTTGCATCTGCTGTAGCTGTTGGAAAATACTGTAAATAGCGCTATGTAGAAGCAAATACTGCAATGCTGTGGACACCATTCCTTGTCGTCCTTGTGTGGTTTTTTTTTTTTTTTTTGGAATACTGCCATATTTTATTTACAGTATTGAGATCTGAGCTTTGGTTTTTCAACGTTGTTGGACTTGCCGTTCGCGTTACGGTGTGAATCCGAGGGCACAGTTTGCTTTATTGCAGTGGAAATATTTCGGGTTCTTCTGTCTTTATAAAAGTATTTCTTCCTCCTCTCCTCTACGTGTGTTTCTCCCGCAGAGTAAGGACAGAAAGGCAGGTTTTAAGCTCTTATTGTTGTCAGTGCAAGGTTCAGATGCTGGTCTCTGATGGCACTTTTAGATCTCAATAACAGCATTAATGTCACATCTGGCGATCAGCTGTAGCTGTCGGCGTTTTCCATCCTTCTTCCAGCATCTGACTCCTCTAGTGTCATATGAAGAAAAACCCATCTTTGTGGCAGAATTAGTGGAATGACAGGGATTTGGGACCCGTGTTGGGATGTTTTGCTCTCCGTGGGCGTGGGGCTGTGGATGTGTTTGTGCTCTGAACTAGGAAATAGTGTTGTGTCTCCGGGTGCCCGCACGAGAAAGTCATCGCTCTCCCATCCATTGTGCTTCTGTGACCCTTGGGGACAGGAGGGACCCACAGGGATGCGAACCAGCAAGTTTTGTCTCCTGTTTCTGAGGGTTAAAGACTGGAAAGATGCGTTTCCTCCGAGATGGTTTTAATCCAAAGGATTTGGGGTGGGTTTTTCTGCGTGTGCTCGGTGTGGCGCGTATTCAGCTCAGTTTAATGTGCTTCACTTGCTTTTTTTCAGTGTTGTTTCTTTGCCTGAAGTGTTAAGATGAATGTAATGGCTTGGCCAAATCACTACAAAAGGTGGTTTCGTGACACCCTTTAGTGAGCAAGCAGCTGCAGTTAAAGGCTACCTCCTGTACTCCTCCACAGATGACTTCATTTTGAAAGGGAACCTACTACACAGCAGCCAAAAAACCCTCCCAAACGAACTCTCCTTTTACTGTTTTCTTGCTGCGGATCTCGTGGTGTCATACTGTGATTTTGGAGGCTGCTCCTCCCTCCTCCTGTCTTCCTGAGGTGTCGGTGGGGCTCGTGTCCAGGCGAGGTACTCAAAAGGTGTGGGAGATGGGGAGGAGAAGGCACATCTGGCACCTTGGCTTCTCTGGGACCCGGCCCTTCCCTCGCTCACTTTCTAAAATACTGTTGTTTCCAGTGAAAAATGTTTTCATGTTTTTTAGCCATTGCCCAAAAAACGTCGTGCTTTCACTGCAAATGACATGAAGGTGCTTGAAATATATTTTGAATCTGAGGCAAAAAAAAAAAATAAATTACATATTGGAATATTTTTTAACGTATTTTTGTAGATAAGTTGACGTGAGACTGTAACAGTGAAAATACTATATTCCCTGCTCAGATCATAATAAACTTTAAAATGGAAAAAAAAAAAACAACAAACCAAAAGACCAAAAAAACCAACCCCAACGTTGAGCATGTTTATATTGTGAATATTTAGTGTCAGTTTTATGTGCGAAGCCTTGGCTGTAGCTCACCCTTGAACTAAAGGTGCTTTAAATGACCTGAACTGAAACTGTAGAAAACTGTGTTCCATACATCCCCTTTTGTTTACAATGAACCCAAACAAGCTTCCTCCTTTCAGAATGAACCACTCTGCTGACAGAAATACTACCTGGTGAAGCCCAACGCGCAGTGTGTGGTTTCATAGCAGTGTTAGAGATTAGTGTTTTTTTGTCTTTAATTTTATTTTATTTAAAATAAGTGGGCTTTATGCTATGGACGTTGGCATCTCAGAAGCAAGTGTTGCTGGAATTATATGCTACCTGCAATTTATCTTAATCAAACTGTCTTAATCTTTGGGTGTAGACACTAATGAAGTTTATTGATGACAGGGGGGGTTGCTGAAGGTCTGAGGTTTCTGGAAGCCAGTTTTTGTTGAGCAATGGGGAGTGAGCAAATAAATCCACTCACTAGCAACCGAATGGGGCAAAATCTTGAAGATTTTGTTCAGTTCTCAGTTAGAATTTTACAAAGCTCCCCCTAAAAGCCTGAAGTGCAGGGTTTTTCAGAAGACGTTTCACTACATCTTGTGTTGTGGATCCGTAGACACTATTGAGGTCGCTGTGGCCTGGAAGGGGTTTCCCTGTGCTCAATGTGCTTCTCCATGAGCATATCCTCATTTTCCTGCCAAATTGCTAATTAAGCACTGGTTTCATCCTCCCTTATCAGGGTTGGAGTGAGGGCAAGGGTGGTTGCTGAGTTTGGAGGTGGGAGAGGTTGGAGAGGGTGAGTCTGGGGAGCGTTGGCAGCGCTGAGAAATGGGAGCCACGGCACCAGATGAAGGGTGAGGACTCCCTTCCTCCCATTAAAGAGCCTCAAAGGACTCATTCCTTTCAATCTGTCCTTGGAGTGGACGGATGCAGCTTAAAACTACCTGTGGCTGCTCTTCAACCAACCCACCCACCCATGTTGTCCTACAAAACCTAGTACTTGTGTTACCCATCAGTATTAAAGGGCACATTCATTTCTATAGGGCTCTTAGCAGCACACACAGATTTTAGTTCACTTGTTTCCCCCACTGTCTGGATGTTTTACTCATCTGCTTGAGTTTTGCTATTTTTTTTTTCTCCCTTCTATAAGCACAGCTAAAATACCTGCTGGAATAACGACTGTCTAATCAGCAGCAGGGATTACAGGTAGTGACTAACCTGGGATTTAGCCTAGGAATTGTCCCTGAAATAGAAATTTAAACTTTTCCAGCCATTTTCTAGGGTTTTTGGTGGGTTTTTTTTGAGCGTGCTTGGCAAGCAGGAATTGTGGAAAGGTCAGCAAACAAGCTTGGGAATTTCTAATCCCCTGGCTGGTGCTCTTTGTATTTGCTTTGTTAGGTTAGATTTCCTGTCGGGGAAAAAAAAAAATAAATACCCTTAATGTGGACTCTGTGCTGTATTTATCAGCTTTTCCTATTCTTAAATCCACGACCAGAGGAAGCTTCTCTCGTGCCAGTACCTGGAATATTGCACATTTTTGCTTGCTTTGCTTGATTCAGAATCTGTGTTTTAGGGGCACCCCAAAATCTCAGCGCCGTGGGCGTGTGCCGGGGGTAGGATCCGATCTGTCGTGTGTCACCGTCGTGTTACAAAGAAGTTTTTCCAGTTTTCACCAAAGTTAATTCTGCATCAACTGTGCGATGCTCAGATCCCGCTGTTTCTGTGCTGGGGGGGAAAAAAAGGTATTATCAACTAAATCTGTTGTTCCTGATAACTTTTTTTCTCATTGGACTTAACAAGACTGAGCCCTTAAATTGCTCCTCTCATTTACGAGTCACAACTTGGTGATTTTATTAGAAAGTAAATAACCCCTCTCTAATTGCCTGACCCACTCGAATCTTTAATTGATCTTCAGTTGCCCGGCACTGGGGAATCCCCAGTATCCTCTGGGAAATCCCTCCCACCACCAGATGGGTGCATTTTTTCCAATACTTTGGGAAAGGTTTGGGGCAGGAGAAATCGTTTGAGTACCTGGTGCTGGGAAGGGTTATTATCTGCTTTCCCTTAAGGAATAATTGCTGGTAGACCATTTGGGAGAGCAAGGCATTTGTTGAGGGAGGGAGGACGAAAAGGGGAAAAAACACCCCAAAACTAAAACCTAGAACAAGACACATGGAAGTGTGTGTGTGTGTATATACACACATATGGTAGTGGAAGGAAAGGGAGACTCTTCATAACAGATCTAAAAGGCAGTATTTTGCTGGAAACACCAAGCACAGTCTCACAGTGCTTCATTAGCCATTAGCTCGTTAGTCTTCAATCCCCAAAGTCTCCACATTTTAGGGCAATTCCTAAGTAAAGCCCCAGGTTTCTGTGCAGCCAAGTGGTTTAACTCCATCTCGGGAGGGAGGTGGAAAACAGAATGTATTGATTAAATCCATATTATTATTATTAATAGTAGTAGTATTTTTGTCCTTCACTTTGGTACATTGCAGATTGAACTGACACCTGTTAAGGGTTTTAATCTCGTAATTATTTTTTTTATAATTATTTTTTATAAAATAAGAGGAAAAGAACCAAAAATCAGTTCAGAAATTTCACGTTGTCAGCGTTCCCTCAAATCCGAATGCTTTTACGACTGTTTCAAGTTTGCTTTTTTTTTGTGTTTTAAAGGAAAAAAAGAAAAATTCAAAAAGATAACGCTGTTAAGGGCCTCATTTCAAGTGGTACTAAATGTTTGTGGAGTAGTGTGTGTGTGTGTGTGTGTGTGTGTGTGTGTGTGTGTGTGTGTGTGTGGCTGTACTAAGGTGTCTGGTGACAGAGATGCCCTCGTGCTGGTTGGGTCAGGGCGATGCTCCAGGAGGTGAAGAAGCAGCTGCAGAAAGAAGCCTTGGCTTTGACTTGTTGACTTGGAGATGTGTTGACGGTGCTGTGGGGTTCCCCAGGTGGCATCTGAGGGTCCCTCCATGTCCCTCTGCCACCAGGAGCTCCACGGAGGTGTCTCTTGAACCCACCAGCCCCATCTCCCTCCCATAGTTTGACCTTTGCCTGACGCCGCTTTCCGTTAAGCCTTAAGGAAATGATACCTTTGTCAGATTTCTTATTGTTGTTGTTGTCGTTGGTTTTCTCAGAGTCTGCAAAAATACTGTTTTTTAAGGAGAGTAGCTGAACTGGGAGAAAAAGGAAGTTTTCTCACCCGAGGGAAGAAAGGGAAACTGGTGGATCTCTCTATACTGTGACCCATCCTTCGCGCCGCCCGGCCCCGTCGCTCGCCGGAACCCGGGCTCTTTCTTGGCATTTTTACCCAGATCTCAGCTTTTTCTTATTTTTTTTCTTTCTTTTCCTCTCTGCCGGTGGTTGAACATTGTCTCCTCCCTTCCCCCTGCTTTAGGAACCCTCTGCCTGAAGGAGGAGCAGGGTTTAATGCTTCAATCCACGTGGGGAAAGGAAAAGCTGCTCTTGAGTTCCGTGCTCGCTTTGCTAGTGCCATCCTCTTCCTCTTCCACTCACCTAGAACCCTTACTTAACACATTTGAAATAGAGGCAAAGAAAACGTTGGGGACCCAGCTTGCTTTTTTTTTTTTTAATTATTTCTCCTTTTTTTTGAATTTTTTTTATTTTTTTCCTGATTTGGATCTACCTCACGTCAACAGTTGGGTGCTATTTGACTCAAATTGTGGATGAGATTTGGCAAAAAGCGACCAAACGGCGCGAGTGCCGCGCTCCGCCAACCAAAACCTCGGGGTTTAGTGTTTGGGGACAACAAATATTGTATTTTGAGTTTTATACTTTGTGCCTTTGTGGTTTTTGTTGGGTTTTTCTGTTTGTTCCCCCCCCTGCTCAGTGCGTAGCAATCAAAAGTCACGGTCTTAATTAAAAAGAGCAACTGAATTTTAACCACAAAGTTTTAGGGAGAAAAAAAACCCCACCAAATGTAGTTTTAGCAAATTTTAAAATGTTTTTCTGTATCAAGTCAGAAAATCAGTATCACAACAGAACTAGGCAAAGAGAAATAGCCAATAAAGAGGCTTTTTTGGGAATATATAATCCTGACCCTTGGTATCTACATCTCGGTGTGTATCGATCTGTGTCTGCACGGACACACACGGGCAGGAGGAGGGGGGTTTGGGGGGGTGTGTGCATGTGTATATACATATTTTTATATATATGCATGTGTATATTTATATATATGCATGTATATATATATTTATATATATATAAAATGAAGGGATGGATGCGCGAGGGGAAGGGAATAAAACATCGACTTTTCCACTGTTTTCTACAGAACAGTTTACAACTTTGTGTAAGTTTTTCTACTACGTGAGCCTTTTTTACTTCAAAATGATTCCTTTTCTGGAAGCTTTTTCAGTTGTGATGCTCTATCTTGTTTTGAAATTTAAAAAAAAGAACAAAACCAAAAAAACAAATGGGAAAAAAAAAAATCGACTTTTTACCGATACCTAAATACAGAGGGGGAATCTTTTTTTTTTTTCTGTAGAATTTGTATTTAGTTTAAAGAAAAAAAAACTAATAACCTATCTATGGAGTTGTAAAAGCGCTGACATTCCATCGTGGCAGGATTTCAAAGCTCTTTTCTAAAGGCTTTCTGCTGCAGAGAGACTCGAACACGAGGAAAATGCCTCTGTTAAATGTGTTTTTGTTTGGTTTTTTTTATTATTATTTTAATAAAACTGCTCCATCAGGTCTATACTTAAGCTATATTTTCTAAAGCCTAATCATCCTTTAATATGCTGCGTATGAATTATCAGCATGGTTGCACTTTCTCAGTAATAATGTATGCCCTGCTAATTGGCTCCCGGGAAGGACTCGTTAGGTTTTTTTTTTAACGAAACAAATAGTACTTTGGGCAGAAGGTAATATTTATAGAGGTACCTCAAGACAAAAAAATTAAAAAAAAATTAAAAAAAAAAATAAAGAGCCTGAATATGCTGCATTTTGTTCCTTTAACATTTTTCATGTAGCATTTGTTTGCTTTTAGTTGGATTTTTTGGGGGGGGGGGGGGAGAATTACTAGCTACCTGGTTTGCTTTTTTTGGGGGGGGACCCCAGTAGTGTCTTGGACTCTGTTTTTTCTTGCTCTCTCTTGTAGAATGTCGTACCCGGCCTTGGTTTCATGCAGTTGGTTTGTTTTTTGGGGTGGGGGGAATTGCCCGGCACCGTGTATGTGAAGGGGAGGGGGGGACCATAAGGAAAATAACGCTTTACGTCGACTTGAGGAAAAGGCTACTTATATTTCTAAAACAGACAATACATGTTCTTTATTCTTAATTAGTCTTATTTTTCCCTCGTGCTGCTTTCTTGACTCTTAATTAGGAGGGGACGGACGGACGGACGGGTCATTAATGGAGGAACAACCAAAGCCACCCAACTGACCCAGTTGGTCGATGTTTTTTGGGGGTGATGGAGAAGTGGTGGGACGTGGGCTCAGTGTCCCCAACCCCCCCAATGTCCCCAACCTGCCCCAAATCAGAGCAGGATCCCTCCCTCTCTCCAACCCCTCCTCTACTTCTTCCTTTCCGAGTCCGTAAAAACACCAAAAAAACATAATTAAATCTAAAAATCTGCAGAGATGGGGAATTTCTTTGTTGGGAACTGTTGAAGGAAGCTTCAAAGGCTGTGAAAAAAAAAAACCCGAGCATTTATTGTCATGTTTTTAAGCTTAGGTGGGTCCTTTCCCGAGTTTGTTTTACAGCTTGTTAAGGTAAAATAGTTTGCACTACTTTTGCAATAAACTCATGAAAAACCCTAACAGTTTCTGTTTTGGTTTCTTACTGTATAGATCTATACGACTAATACTAAAGAATTTTAGCATAGTGTTTTTCACCTCAGAACATAAAGACTTGTAACAAAGCTCAGAATGCTGTAATTCCTGACAAAATAATGATGTGAATGATATTTTATAAAAAGTTATTTTGTATGGTGTCAATTTTTGTTTTTGCCTCATAGTATGTCAATAAAATAAAATTCCTCATCTTTACAAGTTTGGCTTCGATGGCTCTTTCTTCAATTCTGCCGATTTCTGCTCTCACTTGTCCATTGTAAGATTTTCTTCAGTTTTCCAGGAGCACCCAGCGGGGACGGATTCCTGCCCTTAATGAATTTTCGGTGGTGAGTAGAGCGGAGCGGTGGGAGGACACCTCATCCTGAGAGGTCCTTACTCTACGCCAAATTTTGCTCTGTCAAATTGTAATCTAAATGTAAAGGTGCTGCACGGGGTGTGTGGGGTTATTCCTGGGGAGCAGCTCTGAGGAGAAACACCTGGGAGTCCTGGTGGACAATAGGATGACCATGAGGCAGCAATGTGCCCTTGTGGCCAAGAAGGCCAATGGCATCTTGGGGGGCATCAGGAAGAGCGTGACCAGCAGGTGGAGGGAGGTCATCCTGCCCCTCTGCTCTGCCCTGGGGAGGCCCCATCTGGAGCACTGGGTCCAGTTCTGGGCTCCCCAGTTCCAGAAGGACAGGGAACTGCTGGAGAGGGGACATTCAGCCGAAGTCCTCGCTGGGGATTAGTGAGCTGCCAAAATTCACCACAGCCACCTCCAAGGCCTTGATGTGACTCTTTATCAGGGAATGTAGGGATAGGATGAGGGGGAATGGTTTTAAACTGAAAGAGGGGAGGTTTAGATGAGATCTCAGGAAGAAATTCTTTGCTGTGAGGGTGGTGAGACACTGGAACAGGTTGCCCAGAGAAGCTGTGGCTGCCCCATCCCTGGAGGGGTTCAAGGCCAGGCTGGATGGGGCTTGGAGCAACCTGGTCTGGTGGGAGGTGTCCCTGCCCAGGGGGGTTGGAACTGGATGGTCTTTAAGGTCCCTTCCAACCCAAACCATTCTATGATTCCCCCCTGGAGGGATGGCCAGCAAGCGCTGCCCCCCTACGTGACTGACCCAGGCAAGAACCATGGAAAGCCTCTGCGTCAACTGTTGCTTTTCATACAAAACATTTATTTTACAAAGTTGCGTATAAAGTTCCACACAGGGCGGTTACCATTTCTATAGTAAAAAAACCAAAACTATATCCCCAAAACAAAAAACCAACCCCCCAAACAAAAACAAATGAAAAAGCCAGCTCCGTCGCTCACGCGGTAAAAGGGTCGCTCATTCTCAACAAGCCACATCTAAGAGACTTCATGGTGTGGTTTGGTGGAACACCACGGCCACGCTGCAGAGGTGGAGCCCAGGAGAGCAAAAGGTTCCAGCTGTACATATTTATGTTATCTAACCTGTGTTCTTTTTACCACCACAGCCCCAGAACCACACGAGCTCCTGGAATGGCTCATCCTCTGCCCTGTTCCTGTGCCCATGGGGCTTTTCAGGCCACCCCACAGAAGCAGCTGTTTTTACAGAAAGACCTTTTTTTTTAATAGTCTTGGTCCACAGGTAACACCCTGGCACCGTCCCAGAGAAGCCAGGGAGGGTTTGATGGGTTATGGGCTCCCCAAGGAGGCTGAGGACAGCAGACACCATGTAAAACACCTCCCCTCACACCTCTTCTTCTGCTCCGAGGAGAAACACAAAGTGTGGGAGAGGCCTCCCTTGAGTCAGAGACTGAAAAGCTGCCCACCCGTAAGAAAAATTAAATTTGGATACTGATTGTCTGGAGAAGTCACTTGAAATCATCTGAAGCAAGTTCCGCCCTCAGGTTCACCTCGGGCTCTTCTCACCCCACCACGTTGCCGGGGGAGGAATCCCGCTCTTCAACAAGTATCAGGTTCAATTTCTAAACTTCTTAAAGCAAAAGCAGATGGCTCAGTGTATAAATATATCCAGCAGCTGGATTCTCAGTCACAAAAATAACATCCTTTTACACAAGAGAAAATGGATCGACTATGAGGCCGTTCTCCATCGGTCTTAAGATCCAACATCTTCACCAACAGTTTCGTCTTCATCCTCTTCCTCCTCATCCTCTTCATCATCTTCCCCCACTTCTCCATCTCGCTTCTCTTTTTCAAGCATTTTTAGGTATTTGCTAGCCAGGATCTTCTTTGGCAAGATATCTGGAAGGTAAAATTCTTTCTTTTATAGTCTGTTTGAACACTTAGATTGCCTCATTAATACCAGTGCCTCCATACCACTAAGGATATGAAGTAAAACGGAGGCTTTGTTAAAAACATTATTATTTAAGTGAATACTGAATTAGGAATAAGAGGGAACTACCCCCTTACAGCACAAATAACCACAGATAAGGCATGTATTTTACAACTGATTACTGGCAAATTGTCTTTACTATCTGCTCACACACATGATTTATTTGATGTAAACCAGAGCACTCAATTACCCAACTGCTTTGGATTCAACAAGCTGTTTCCATCCTGCAGAAACAGGTTTTCTGCATAAAGGTAAAATATGTGCTTGGGGCAATAATGATGGACCTGAGACAACACAGAGCTGTGTGCTCTGAAAGTACAGCCATGGGGAACTCAGACTGGGCTGGGAATATCTTATTCTCCCCCTACACCCTGTGCCAACGCCTTTTTCCGAGTCAAGCGTTAGAACAAAAATACAGGTATCAGTAAAAAGTGTGTGTGCATCCACACGTGTGTGTAACGTATATATGTAAAAAAAAAAAAGGAATGAGGAGCCATAGGATGAGTCACTCAGAGCAACAGCTTCCAGATTTAAATGTGTAATTTTGGGGCCACGTAACTTCTCAGCCAAAGATGCGCAGCAATCTCGCGTTACGGGCTGGAAGCTTTCAGAGGGAGCTGCTGGAATTCCAGAAGTGCCTCAGGCAACGTGCTGAGAACTCCTGAGCCTCCTGTCATTTTGAAGCACCAGAAAAATCCCCATTCCCAAAGAAATGTTTTCAGTGACGTAGTTGCTGAGTTCCAGTTGAATGCTCTACAGGAGACTAATGACCAGCAGAACTGTGTCCTCACAAAACAATTCAATAAGAGCAAAATTTCCTTTTCCAAATTACACACTGGATTTACCCCCACGCTATAGATACCTGCAAGGAACTGGAAGGTCTCACACTCTTCTGCAGTATGAGACAGGTCACTGTAAGTTAGAGCGTTCTTCTCCTTGCCTCTGCCATGTTTGTAGGAGTACGTAGCCAAATACTGAACAAAAAGTTCCTACAAAATTAAAACACAAGTCAAACTATGAATTCACACATACAGCTGCCAGCAGTTTTCTTTATTCCCTTTTTAAAGGCACAAATGCCACATTTAACTGCACGTATTTGACACTTTGTGGAGAGATGCACTAATTTCAGAAGAGCTGAAGTTCAGGATATAGTTGCCTCTCCTTGGAGAACCGACTGCAGGTTTGGGTTCTGGTACATCACTTAATTTGTGCTGCTTTTCGACACTTCCCACAGCCCAGGAAATGACCCTTGGGATGAGAAAGCAGCAGGGTATCATTTCCACACAGGCTAATTTGTATTAATTGACAGTGGTGGAAATAAGAACCTCCTGCATTGCTCACAGACTCCTGGAGCTCAGCTGGATGGGAAGATGCCCAAACCCTCAGCAAGTTTGCCGATGACACCAAGCAGTGTGGTGTGCTCAACAAGCTGGAGGGAAGGGATGCCATCCAGAGGGACATGGACAGGCTTGAGAGGTGGGCCCGTGTGAACCTCATGGAGTTCAACCAAGCCAAGTGCAAGGTCCTACACGTGGGTCATGGCAATCCCATGCACAAATACTGGCTGGGCTGAGAATTGCTGGAGAGCAGCCCTGAGGAGAAGGACATGGGGGTGTTGGTGAATGAGAAGGTCAACATGAGCTGGCAACATGTGCTCACAGCCCAGAAAGCCACCTGCATCCTGGGCTGCATCAAAGGCAGCGTGGCCAGCAGGGTGAGGGGGGGGGAATTTCGTCCCTCTGTTCCACAGGTCAGACCCGACCTGCGTCCAGATCTGGGACCCCCAACACCAGAAGGCCATGGACATGTTGGAATGGGTCTGGAGGAGGACCACAAAGATGATCCAAGAGCTGGAGCACCCCTGCTGCGAGGACAGGCTGAGAGAGCTGGGGTTGTTCAGCCTGGAGAAGTCTCTAAGGAGACATTACAGCCCCTTCCAGCACCCAAAGGGCCTGCAGGAGAGACAGGGAGGGACTCTTTATCAGGGAGTGGAGCCACAAGATGAGGCGTAACGGTTTTAAGCCCAAAGAGTGTAGGTTTGGGTTAGATATCAGGAAGAAACTCTTTCCTGTGAGGGTGGTGAGACACTGGAACAGGTTGCCCAGAGAAGCTAGGGCTGCTCCATCCCTGGAGGGGTTCAAGGCCAGGCTGGATGGGGCTTGGAGCAACCTGGTCTGGTGGGAGGTGTCCCTGCCCAGGGCAGGGGGGTTGGAACCCGATGATCTCCAAGGTCCCTTCCATCTACCCGTGATTCTACACAGCCCTTTTTCCACAGCGAGAGACCGACGCCTGAAGCTCGATGGCCGCCGAGCGTTGGGCCCTGGCAGCGGGGGAAGTCCCACCGGCCGGGGACGAGCCCGGCACCGACACGGAGGGAGGCGGGAGCCCGGCCCTGAGGCGGCGGCCCCTCAGGGAGGCGCAGGCCCAGGCCCGGCGGGGAAGGGCGCGGGGCCGGCGGAGATGGAAGGGGAAAGGGGAGGCGGTACCGTGGCTTTGGCGGTGAGGAAAAGCGCGTCCTGGTTGATGCTGGAGACCTCCGGGGAGCTCTTCATGATCACGCGGATCCGCGACAGGGGCAGCGACACCAGCCGGTTCTCCCCGCCGCTCGGCCTCGCCGCCATCTTTTCCCCCCCCGAACCCCGGCACCGGCTCCGGCCCTTCCCCCCAGCCCGGCGAAAAATGGGCGGTCGCCGCGGCCCGCCGGGAGCTGTAGTCCCCGGCCGCCATGGGGGGAGGACCGGCGGGACTACAGCTCCCAGCAAGCCGGGCGGAGGGAGGACTACAAGCCCCAGGGCGCTCCTCGCCCTTCTCCCCGCCCTTTCCCGGCGGCGGGGCCACCGCTGTTCCTGAGGTGGAAGGCGGGCGCCGTGAGGAACCGGGATGTCCGGCTGCTGG